CCACCAACAGAGCACAAAAGTTCCAATTTCTCCACATCCTTCCCAACACTTGTTTTCTGTTCTTTTGATAGCAGGCATCCTAATGAATGTGAATTGTATCTCATTGTAGTTTTGATGTGCATTTCCCTAACGATTACTGATGCTGAGCATCTCCTCATGTGCTTCTTGGCCACGGTCTGTCTTCTTTGGAGAAATGTCTATTCAAGTCCTTTGCCCATTTTTGAGTCCAGTTGTTGTGTTTTTTGTTGTTGAATTTTAGGAGTTCTTTACACATTCTGGGTATTAATCCCTTATCAGATGTATGATTTGCAAATATTTCTCCCATTCTGTGGGTTGCCTTTTTACTCTGTAGATAGTGTCTTTGTGTGTGTGTGTGTGTGTGTAAGGAAGATTGGCCCTGAGCTAACATCTGTGCCAATCTTCCTCTGTTTTATGTGGGATGCTGCCACAGTGTGGCTTGATGAGCAGTGCCAGGTCTGCGCCTGGGATCCGAACCTGCAAACCCCGGGCAGCCAAAGCAAAGAGCACACACCTAAATGTATAAAGCAATTATTAACAGATGTAAAAGGAGAAATAGACAGTAACACAATAATAGTAGGGGACTTTGGCACTCCACTTACACCAATGGATAGATCATCCAAATAGAAGATCAATAAGGAAACATTGGCCATAAATGACATATTACACCAGATGGACTAGTAGATATGTACAGAACATTCCACCCAAAAACCAGAGAATACACGTTCTTTTCAAATGCACATGGAACATTCTCCAGGATTGGTCACTTATTAGGCCACAAAACAAGTCTCAATAAATTTAAGAAGATTTAAATAATAATACCAAGCGTCTTTTCTAACCACAGAGGTATGAAACTAGAGATCAACTACAGGAAGAAAATCAGAAAAGCCACTAATATGTGGAGATTAAACAAAATGCTACTGAAAAACAACTGGGTCAATGAAGAAATCAAAGCAGAAATCAATAAATACCTGGAGACAAAGTGGAGCGTGCAAACTTAACCACGATGCCATGGGGATGGCCCCTAGATAATATCTTTTGATGTACAAAATTTTTCAATTTTCATCAAGTCCAATTTGTCTAGTTTATCTTTTGTTGCCTGTGCCGTTGGTGTCATATCCAAGAAATCACTGCCAAAGCCAATGTTGTGAAGCTTTTGTCTTATGTTTCTCTGAGAGTTTTATTGCCTTAGGTCTTATGTTTAGATCCTTGATCCATTTTGAGTTAACTTTTGTATATTGTGTTAGTTGAGGGTTCAACTTCATTCTGTTGAACATGAATATCCAGTTTTCCCAGCGCCATTTGTTGAAAAGACTGTGCTTTCTCCTTTGAATGGTCTTGGAACCCTTGTCGAAAATCATTTGACCACATATGTGAGGGTTTATTTGTGGGCTCTCTAGTCTACTCCATTTGTCTATATGTCTGTCTTTATGCCAACACCACCCTGTCTCAGTAACTGTATCTTTATAGTAAGTTGTTTTTTTTTTTTTTGAGGAAGATTAGCCCTGAGCTAACATCTGCTGCCAATCTTCCTCTTTTTGCTGAGGAAGACTGGCCCTGAGCTAACATCCATGCCCACCTTCCTCTGCTTTATACATGGGACACCTACCACAGCATGGCTTGCCAAGCGGTGCCATGTCCACACCCAGAATCTGAACCGGCGAACCCGGGGCTGCCGAAGCAGAATGTGCGCACTTAGCCACTGCACCACTGGGCCGGCCCCTATAGTAAGTTTTGAAATCTGGAAGTGTGAATCTTCTAGCTTTGTTCTTCTTTTTCAAGATTTTTTTGGCTATTCTGGGTCCTTTGAGATTCCATGTGAACTTTAGGATGGGTTTTTCTATTTCCATGAAAACGTCATTGGGATTTTGATGGGGATTGCGTTGAATCTAGCCTGCTTGGGTAATATTGACCCCTTAACAATGGTAAGTCTTCCAATCCGTGAACATGAGGTGTGTGTCATTTATTTGTATCTCCTTTTATTTCTTTCAGCAATGTTTTGTAGTTTTCGTTGTACAAGTCTTTCACCTCCTTGGTTAAGTTAATTCCTAAGAATTTTATTCTTTTTTGCTGTTGTCAATGGGATTGTTTTTAGAATTTCCTTTTCCGATTGTTCATTGTTCATGTATAGAAATGCAACTTATTTTTTTTGTGTTGACTTTGTATCTTGCTACTTTGCTGAGTTTGTTTACTAGATCTAATTGCTTTTTTGTGGAGTCTTTAGGATTTTCTATATATAAGATCATGTCGTCTACAAACGGAGAGAATTTTACTTCTTCCTTTCCAATTTGGATCCTTTTTATTTATTTTTCTTGCCTAATTGCTCTGGCTAGAACTTCCAGCTCTAGGCGTAATAGAAGTGGTGAAAGCAGGCATCCTTGTCTTGTACTTGATCTTAGAGGAAAAGCCTTCAGTCTTTCACCATTGAGTATTTGATGTTTTCTGTGGGGTTTTTTTATATATGGCTTTTGTCATGTGGACGTAGTTTCCTTCCATTCCTATTTTGTTGAGTGTTTTTTCATGAAAGAGCGTTGAATTTTGTCAGATGCTTTCTCTGAGTCAATTGAGATGATTATGTGGGGGTTTTTTCCTGCATTTTGTTTATGTGACATATTACATTGATTGATTTTTATATGTTCAACCATCTTTGCATTCCAGGAAGGCATCTCTCTTGGTCATATTGTATATTCCTTTTTTAAAATTTTATTTTGTTTTATTTTTTTAAGAAGATTAGCCCTGAGCTAACACCCGCCACCAATCCTCTTCTTTTTTGCTGAGGAAGACTGGCCCTAAGCTAAGATCTGTGTGCATCTTCCTCTGTTTTTTACATAGGATGCCTGCCACAGCATGGCTCAATAGGCAGTGTGTGTGTGTCCACACCTGGGATCCAAACCAGTGAACCCTGGCCACCAAAGTGGAACATGCGAACTTAACCACTACACCACGAGGCCGGCCCCTGTATGTTGCTTTTAATATGCTGCTGAATTTGGTTCGCTAATGTTTTGTTGAGGAGTTTACATCAATGTTCTTGAGGGATATTGGTCTGTAGTTTTCTTTTCCAGTGGTGTGTTTGTCTGGCTTTGTTATCAGAGTAATGCTGGCCTCATAGAATGAGTTGGGAAGTGTTCCCTACCTCAAACTCTGGGAAAAGTTTGAGCAGAATTGGTGTTAGCTCTTGAAATGTTTGGTAGAATTCAGTGAAGCTGTGAGGTCCAGGGCTTTTTTTAGTGGAGAGATTTTTGATTCCTGATTCCATCTCCTTACCAGTTACAGGTCTGTTCAGACTGTCTATTTCTTTGTGATTTAGTCTTGGTAGGTTTTGTGTTTCTAGGAATTTGCCCGTTTCATCTAGGTTTCCCAATTTTTTGGTGTACGATTGCTTATAGTACAGTCTTACTGTCCTTATTTCTGTAGAATTGGTAGTAATGTCCCCACTTTAATTTCTGATTTTAGTAATCTGAGTCTTCTTTCTTTTTCGCTTAGTCCAGCTAGCTAAAGGTCTGTCACTTTTGTTGATCTTTTCAAAGAACCAACTTTTGGTTTCATTGATTTTTCTGTATTGTTTTTCTATACTCTGTTTTGTTTATCTCTGCTCTAATCTTTAATATTTCCTTCCTTCTGCTACCTTTGGGTTAAGTTCGTTCTTTTTCTAGTTCCTTAAGTTACAAAGATAGTTTGATTTGAGATCTTTCTTGGTTTTTTTTTAAAGATTTTATTTTTTTCCTTTTTTCTCCCCAAAGCCCTCCGGTACATAGGTGTATGTTCTTCGTTGTGGGTCCTTCTAGTTGTGGCATGTGGGACACTACCTCAGCATGGCTTGATGAGCAGTACCATGTCCGCGCCCAGGATTTGAACCAACGAAACACTGGGCTGCCGGCAGCGGAGTATGCGAACTTAACCACTCGGCCACGGGGCCAGCTCCATCTTTCTTGTTTTTTAATGTCAGCATTTATAGCCATAAATTTCCCTTTCAGCACTCTTCTCTGCATCCTGTAAGTTTTGGTATGTTGTACTTTTATTTTCATTTGTCTCTAATTATTTTATAATTTCTCTTGTGATTTCTTCTTTGATTCATTTGTTGTTTAAAAGTGTGTTGTTTAATTTACACAATTTTGAGAATTTTTCAGTTTTCTTTATTTTATTGACTTCTAACTTTATCCTATTGTGGTCAGAGAAGATATTTTGTATGATATCTATCTTTTTAGATCTATTGAGATTTAATTTGTGGCCCAACATATGGCCTGGAATATGTTCCATGTGCACTTGAGAAAAACGCGTGTGCCGTGGTTGGATAGAGCATTCTGTGTGTCTGTTTGATCTGGTTAGTTAATTTTGTCGTCTAAGTCTTCAATTTCCTTACTAATGTTCTGTGTGCTTGTTCTGTCCATTATTGTGAGTGGGGTGTTGAAGTCTCCAACTATTATTGTAAACTGACTATTTCTCCCTTCAATTCTGTCAGTTCTTGTGTCGTATGTTTCGAAGGTCCATCATTAGGTGCATAAATGTTTGTAACTGTCAGGTCTTCTTGCTGCATTAAGACTTTCGTTAATATATAACCGCTGGTGTTTTTATCATCTCCTTAGTTTTGCCTTTTCCGGGTTGTAATGGAATCACACAGTGTGGAGCCTTTGCAGACGGGCTTCTCTCGTTTGGTTAATGCATTTAAGTTTCTTCCATGTCTTTTCATGGCTTGATGGCTCATTTCTTTTTAACCGGCTTGACTTTTAAAAAAATGAGACTCTGGTGCTCCCAACTTGTCACGGTCAATACACCAATCTGTGATTTCTTGGATGTGGATCGTGTCCCTGCGGCGTGCAAAAACACTGCCTCTCCCACCGGGGGCCAGATGCAGGCCTCGCCCCTGAGCAGGAGGGAGGCCAGAGCTCCTTGTGCCACGTCAGGGCTGCAGGCTGGCAGTTGGGAGAGGAGCCCTTGCTGCAAGCCCGGTGCAGCCCCCCTGGCTCATTGGGGTCTTTTGGCAGCTGTCCCTCGACAAGGAGCTCGTCGACTTCGGCAGCTACGTGGTAGGCGAGACTGCATCCCGGATCATCACACTGACCAACGCCGGGGGCTTGGGCACCAGATTCAAGTTTCTTCTGGCCTCTGAGTCCTGTGAGATGGACATCTCCCAGTCGGTCCTGAAAATAGTGAGTGTGCTGCTTGCTTCCTGTCAATAGCTGTGAATGCTCAGCCAAGGGCAGGGCGTGGTGCCTCCCTCCCCTAAGTCAGTCCCCCGAGTGTAAAATGGGCAATGACAAGAAGGAGTTTGTTGGCACGGGGCTGGAGGAGAAGGGGTGGCAGGACATCCTCATCAGTCTAAATAGAAGAGATTGGTCTCCATCCATAAGGAGGACACCAGGGGCCACCTGGCCACAGGCACAATGGCAGCAGGACGCTGTCCCCTCTCGAGCATGTAGTGACAGGGCGGTGACCAGGAGCTCCAAGGCCTGAGAGCCCCAGGAGGCCTTCCCTTCTCCTGGTGCGCCTCCAAAGTCCCAGCATGGGCTTGGGCAGCCCAGCCCAGATGACTCAGGCTGAGAACCAAGGCAGACGCTGCCCCGTACCTGCACCTTCTCCAAAGGCGCGAGGGGGGCCTTGCTGCTTTCACGGGAAGGCTGTGCACCATGCTGCTAAGTGAATGGAAACAGCCTCAGAGCATCACAGGTGGGACCCCATCCGTGGAGACAACTTCTGCCACACCCAGTGGATCCTGGGGGTCATTTGGGGGTGAAATTGGTGAGAGAAACTGCCCTTTTTAAATACACGTCTGAATTAGTTGAAACTTTCCTACAGGGAGCACTAAGCTCCTACTTTGCAGTTCTGTCTGCTGCATTGAGGGGTCTCGGCAAAGGACTGGAAGGGTCTCCCTCAGGGAATGAGGGGCCAACAGTCAGGGGTCCCCCAGGCAGCCAGCGGACCAGCAGCTGCAGCAAAGGTGGGAGGGGCCAGGATGTGAACCTGGGAGGAGGGCCAAGGTGATGGTGGGTAAGGAGGGGACACGGGGGCAGGTGCCTCCTCAGGGTGCTCCGCTGGTGCCAGCCCTGTCTCCTCCTGGTGGGCACTGTCCTGCTGGACGACAGCTGCACCTGAGCTGTGCCCAGGCTGTCCATTCACCCTGTGGCACTGAGTCACACGTGACAGGTACTCGGCCATTCTGTTATGAGCAAGGACTGGGTGGCAGTGACCTCTGGGCGAGGAGCAAAGGTGGGGCCGGGCCAGTTCTCAGGCCAGCAGGGATCTGGGCTGAAGCAAGGAGAGCACAGAGCTGGAGACTGGTCAGCCCACACGGGGAAAGGAACCCAGCATCCTGGGGGCTCAGGCGGAGAGGAAGGCTGAGGGCCAGTGCGGGAGACTGCACTCGCCCCCATGCCAGAGCCCAGCCTACGGTGGGCTCCAAGATGGGGCATCAGTGCTGTGGTGACCGAGGAGAAGCCAGCCTGGGCTACAGCAAGCAAGGCAGAGGGGTCGGCCTGAGCCCCCGGATGAGAGCTGCTGTGGTCTGGAGCCCCGGTGTGAGGCAGGGCAAGAGGCGTCAGGGGAGGTGTGCAGGAGCTGGCAGCCCCCAGCCCAGGTCATGGCCAGGCTCTCTATGCGGCCCTTGCTGTGACGGGGTTCTGGGCAGTTGGGTGGGAAAGGCAAGTGGAAATTGCCAGTAAAAGTCATATTCTCTTTTTTAGAGCAGTGTCTTTACATATGAAGATAAAAGTTTTTATGAAAAAGTCACCACCAGTTTTTCTGAGCAGCACGTGGAGGGCAATGAGTCCTCTCCCATTGAGGAGACAAGCCAGAAGGAGTCTGGAAAGCTGGACAGCAAGGAGCAGGAGGAGGGGCGCCCTGCAGGTGAGCTGGACACTGGCGGGCCTGTGCCTGGCACACAGCTCTGGGGACCTCGGCAGCAGGACCCCTGAGTCACAGCTGTTTGACAGGCAAGAAGAGGCCAGGTGGGGTGGGTTGCAGGGCCCCATTCCAGGAGCCACCTGGAGCACCTGCTGGCCTCTGACGAAGCTCTGATGTGCCAGCATGGTGCCAGAGGGCGGGATGGTGCAGAATTTTTCCAGGGCTCTGATTTTAAGTGATAGCAAATAAGAAAATATTCATGTATTCAAAAACTACTGGTTATGGAGTAGATCTTAAATTTGCATTTATATTTAACAGCAGACTTAAAAGAAATCCTGGCTTTGGACCACCAGGCTGGCCACCGGGGTTGCCCTCACTGCCCTTGGGAGTCCCTGTTGGGATATTCGAGGAGCCCTTCTCCAGGGGTGCAGCTGCAGACTGGAGGGAGGGAGGGAGGAGAGGAGGGCCCTGCTGACTGGAGGCTCTGCTCACGGGTCACGGGAGGCTCTGGGTTGCCTGGGGCTGTGCTGAACTCTGTACAGAAGTGCAGATAACACATGAGGACAATTTAAAGAGGAGTCATGACATCGGCACCCCGAACCCGGCACCAACCTTGAGAAGGAAGAGAATTCCTGGAGGCTGGCCTCGCTTCGACTGCCTCTTCTGCACCAGCGACTGCCATCTGGAATTATTTTCATTCCCCTACCACCCTTTATAGTTTGTCTGTCCACGTACACATACCAGACGTGGCTGGATCTCTTCCTTTACGTAAATGGAGCCGGGGGAGCACAGTCTCCTGTGAGTTGCTCTGTTGCTCAGCGTCAAACTTTGAGGCTCCCTCACACTGATGTGTGAGCCGTTCTTCCTGCTTCCTCCGCTGTATGGCATCTCCTTTCACGACCGCGCCTCGAGTCACGGTTGAACCCACGGGGGTGAACCCTGCCGGTTCACATTTGGGGGGACTTCGAGGTGTGTGCTGTCGTGCACAGGGCCGCGTCTTTCTGTGCATGCTTTTCTCTGGAGCACTCACCCGGGTGCGTGCTTGCCACGTCACAGGATACGCACAGCTTCACCTTCATTAGCTGACCAAGTTCTTTTTCAACGTGGTTGTGCCAATTCACCACCCCCCCCCCCAAAAGCATCTAAGAGGATGCAACCCAACACAGCTGCTACTAGCCACACCTGGCTATTTAAAATTAATCAAAATTGAAGAAGTGTAGGGCCCAGCCCTGTGGCTGAGTGGTTAAAGTTCTGTGCGCTCTGCTTCGGCAGTCCGGGTTCACAGGTTCAGATCCTGGGCACAGACCTACTCCACTCACCAGCCATGCTGTGGCAGCATCCCACATACAAAAAGTAGAAGAAGATTGGCACAGATGTTAGCTCAGGGCAAATCTTCCTCAGCAAAATAAAATTAAAAAGAGGAGTAAAAGTTGCACTCCTCCTTCACACAAGCACATTTCAAGTGCTCAGTAGCCACCTGGGGCTTGTGGCTGCCAGCCTTCCGTCCCCACAGAAAGCACCGTGGGCAGCACTCGGTGCTATCAGTCTGTGGCCCCGTGAAGGCGTGTTGTTGAGGTTTTGATTTGTATTTCCCACATCAGCAACAAGATCGCCGGTCTGTTCATGAGCCTGTCTACTATTTGGATTCTCTTTGGTATGAAATATCTGTTAAAGCTTTTCCGCTACTTTCCTGTGGGGTTGTCTGTCTTTTCCTTATTGATTCACAGGCATTCTTTCCATTCCCTGGAGACTTGGCCCTTTGTCAAGTATTTGCTGCAAATGTTGCCTCCACGTCTTTGTACTGCCTTTATGATCTCATTTCTTAAATCAAAGTCCTCAATTTTAATGTTTGCTAATCCATCCATCATTTCTTTTGAAGTTTGTTTCTTATGCCTTTTTAGCAATTTTTTCCTATCCCAAGGTCATAAAGACGCAGGGGCAGCCCTGTGTTTAGGTCTGTGATCTGGAGTTGATTTTGCATGTGCTGTGAGGCAGGGGCCGGGCTCTTTTCCCACATGGACATCCAATCATTCCTGGAACTTGGGTTGGAAAGTCCTTCCTTTCCCCGTTGGGTCGATTTGCTATCTTTGGCAAAAGTCAGTTTGTTCTCTTTGTCACAGATGTTTCTGGACTCCCTTTTCTGACCAGTTGGTCCCTCCAGTGCCACACTGTCCTGATTACGGCAGCTTTAGCCTAAGTCTAGACGCCGGGTGGTGTAAGTCTTTTTTTCAAGGTCTTTGCTTTGAATATTTTAGGTACTTTGCATTTCCATATAAATTTTAGAAAGAGCTTCTTGATTTCCAAAGAAAAGTCTAGTGTGGGTGTGATTGGCATGGCAAATCTATAGATCAATTGAATCTGTAGGTCACTTTGGGGGGAATGGACAATATCGAGTCTTTCAATCCATAGACAGGGCATGTTTCCCCGTTGGGTTAGATCCGCTTTGATTTTTTTTAGCAGCGTCTTGTAGTTTACCGCACAGAAGTCCTATACATTCTGGGTCTGTTTATCCAGTCTGACAGTCTTAGACTTTTCTCCAGTATTTCCTCTATTTATATTATTGTGATTCTTGATATATTTGGATTTCTTTCCACCGTTATATTTTGTGATAAAATATATAATATTTTATCAATATTATATATTGATCAGCTTTTTTCTTCTTTTGTTGTTAGTCTTATTTTCTGGACTTTTAGCCTCTCTGCTTCTTTCCTCCTCTACCAATTAGACAGTCCCTGGTCTTCAAAGTGGCCCTAAACCAGGGAGCCACACCTTCCACAGCCTCGGCTGGCAGCCTTGCCAGAGGTGGGGCCGTCTCACCTAAGGGACCCTCCATCGTCACAAACGTCTGGTGTGAGCACAGGGTGCAGGGGCAGATGGAGCCCCCATCTCGCTGTATTTCTAACATTCCAGGAAACCATCTTTAAAAAAAGACCGTTTTTGTAATCATAGCAAAGCAGTGAAGAGGAGAGAGACTCTGGGAGCAACAGCGGTTCTGCCCCGCGTGGAGCGACAATGAGCAGGTTCAGCTCCCACCTCCTCCGCCTCCTGCGCTGAGTCAGCAGGTCAGGCGGCTTGACCACGAACTCCCCCCAGCCCCAGCACCACGTGTCAGCAGGGGCCATCTTCTGAGTGGAGTTTGGGACGCACACGCCCACTGGAGGTCGTGGGGGTCCTCACAGCAGCCCAGGCAGAAGCCCAGATCCCAGCGTGGGCTCCCGATACCTGCTGATGCAGGACTTCCCTGTGACCACTGCAGGGGTTGTTTGGAATGAGTTGAACCCAGGGGTCCACCCAGGGTGGGTCTGACGGGAGTGCTCACGCGAGCAGAGGACTCAGAGGGCTGCACACTTGGTGATGAGTGTAATAGATGAAGAAACTGCCACCGAGCAGGACAGCGAGGGAGCAGCAGCACAGGTCCCCTCTCCCTTGGCTCCGAGGTAAGTTGGGGGACTCTCCCCTGGGGATTTAGAACCACAGCCAGGCCTCATGTGGGTTTGCAGCCTAACTCACACCCTGCACCGTACCAACCGTCTCCAGCAGAGGCTTCAGGAGACAGTTGTCCGGGTGGGAAGAGCTTCGGGTGCCTGGCTGCACAAAGGTGACCCCTCTCTGGAAAAGTGCAGGTTCAGCTCAGAGCTCAAGGAATTGCACAGATAATGTGCCAAGAAACACGAGCTCACGGTCAAAAGTTGCTTGGTATCGTCATCAAGGCAGCAACAAATGAATCCCGCAGTGTGTGAAGAGGAGCACAAATCATACGCAAGTGGGGTCTGTCCTCGGATGCAAGGCCACGCGACATTCAAAGATCACACAACATAATTCACCATGCTGACGGACCAAAGAAGGAAAAACATATAATTGTCTCAACTGATGCAGAAAAAGCATTTGACAAAATTCAATATCCATTCGTGATCAAAACTCTCAGCAAACTAGGAATAGAAGAGAATTTCCTCTATCTGATAATGGGCATCTTAAAAAACAAACCTACAGTTAACATCATACTCAGTGATGAGAGATTGAATGCCGTTCCCTAAAGATCAGAAACACAGCGAAGACGTCCACTCACTCACTCCTATTCAGTGCAATAAGGCAAGAAAAGGAAATAAAAGACATAAAGTTTGAAAAGAAAGAAAGAAAATTATCTTTACTTACAGACGACATTATTATCCATCCAGAAAATCCCAAAGAATCACAAAAAGGCTACAGAATAAGTGAGTTTAGTAAGGTCATAGGATACAATATACAGAAATGAGGCTTATTTCTAGATAGTAGAAATTGGAAGTTGAATTTTTATAAGTACCATTTATAATAGCACCAAAAACATGAACTACCGAGTTACAAAGCTAAGAAAGATGTGCAGGTCTGTGTGCTGAAAACTGCAAAACTGATAAACCAAAGCCTCAATAAAAGATCCGTGGAGATGGTGCACTGGACGGCTCCATATCGTTAAGACGTCAGTTCTCCTGAAACTGACTGTGGATGATGCAATTCTAATCCAAATCCTGGCAGGATTTTTCATGGAAATTGACAAGCTCATTCTAAAATTTATATGGAAATCCAAAGGATCTCAAATAGCCAGAACAACTCTGAAAGAGAAGAACGGAGTTGGAGGACGCAGACCGCCTGCCTTCAGCCCTCTCCTGAGCTGCACTACCAGGACAGTGTGGCGCTGGCAAAGGGGGGCCTCGGACTCGGTGGGACAGAACAGAATCCAAAATGGACCCACACAAGTGTGGCCAATTGATCTTCAATAAAGTTTCCTTGAAGAAAAAACAGTCTTTCCAACAAATAAGACCTTAACAATTAGATAAACATATGCCAAAAAAATTAACCTCCATCCATTCCTCACACTGAAAGCAAAAATTATTCAAAATAAATCTTAGACCTAAATGTAAAACCTAAAACTATAAAACTTCTAGAAGGAAACATAGGAGAAAATCTATGTAACCTTGGGTTGGACAAAGATTTCTTAGATATGACATCAAAAGCATGACCCATCTTTTTAAAAATTATACACTGAACTGCATCAAAACTAAAAATATCTGCTCTTCTAAAGATACTGTTAAGAGAATGAAAAGATAAGCCACAGACTGGCAGAAAATAGTAGCAAATCGCATATCTGATAACATATCCAAAATATGTAAAAAACTTTCAAACCCCAATTAGAAAACAACCCAGTTTAAAAATGGGCAAAAGGCTGGAACAGACACTTCACCAAGGAAGATATGTGGTCGGCAAATAAGCACATGAAAAGATGCTCCACATCATCAGACATGAAGGAAATGCAAATTAAACCAGAGAGGGGCACCAGTACAGACCTGTGAGAATGGCAAGATTAAAAGCAAGAAGACAAAAAAACACAATACCGACTGCTGGCGAGGAGCAGCCGTAACTCTCATCCGTTGCTATTGGGGTGTGAGGCGGTGCACGTTCAGCACCTTCTCATAAAATTAGACAAACGTCATACAACCCAGCAGCCCCACTCACAGGTATTTACCAAAAGAAATGAAAACTTACATTTAAGTGGAAACCTGTGCGTGGATGTTTATAGAGGGTTTATTTGTAATTGCCAAAACCTAGCTACCTAACTCCTGTCAGCTGGTGCACGGATAAAGTGCAGCGCGCCTGCCGTGGGAGACGTCTCAGCCCTGAAAGGAATGAACTAGTGATACACGGACGACGTGGATGAATCTCAGGTGCATCGTGCTGGGTGAAAGAAGCCACACTCCCAAAGCCGCAAACCATGACTCCATTTGTGCAACGTTCTGGAAAAACGAACACTACAGGGACAGAAAGCGGGGTGGGCGGCAGGAGCAGGGGAAGGATTAACTACAGAGGGCAGGGGTCTGCAGTGATGGGACTGTGCTAGCTTGATTGTGGTGTGGGGTACACAACTGTATGCATTTGTCCGAGCTTGCAGAAGTTTACACTAAAAAGGGTGAATTTCACTGTGTGTAAATTATTCCTTAATAAAAAGAAATGGGAAAAAAATCACTCAACACACATAAACAACAGAGAGCTCTACAATCTTGCATGTTTCAGATATTGATGTTATCACACAGCACCTAAAATAAGTTTTAAAATGCTCCATACGTTGAAAACATCACGAAAGAATAAGATCAAGTAGATCTGAAAATGAACCAAAGAAAACTTCGGGAAGTAAGAATATGATCATTGAAAATGAAACCCCAGTGGCCAAGCGGTTAAGTTTGCACGCTCCGCTTCAGCGGCCCAGGGTTTCGTTGGTTCAGATCCTGGGCGCAGACATGGTACTGCTCGTCAGGCCACACTGAGGCGGCGTCCCACATGCCACAACCAGAAGGACCCACAACTAAAAATATACAGCTGTGTACCGGGGGACTTTGGAGAGAAGAAGGAAAAATAAAATCCTTGAAAAAAAAAAAGAAAAGAAAATGAAACCCCAGCCACTGGGTTAAACTGTATATTAGTGCTAAAGAGAGAATTGGTGAACTAGAAGATAGACCCAGAGAAATTTTCTAAATGCAGACAGAGATGGAAATGTGAAAGAAATGGTACAAGCCATGGAGGACAGAGTGAGGAGGTGTAACTTGTCTACTGGAGTCAGGAAAAGGCAATATTTAACGAGATACTTGCTGAGAATTTTCTAAAATGTTGCAACAACCTCTAAACTCACATCCAGAAAGTGAGTAAATATCCAGTGTAACTGATAGAATGGAACAGACCCAAGAAGCAGATAACACTGGGCACATAGTTAAAGAAACCTTTCCTAGAAAAGGGAACTCTCATACACGCTGGTGGGAGGGTAAACTGGTGCAGCCACTATGGAGAAGAGTATGGAGATTCCTCAAAAAATTAAGAATAGATCTACCATACGATCCAGCTACCCCACTGCTGGGTATTTATCCAAAGAACATGAAAACACAAATGCGTAAGCATATATGCACCCCTATGTTCATTGCAGCATTTTTCACAATAGCCAAGACTTGGAAGTAACCTATGTGCCCATCAAGAGACAAATGGACGAAGAAGTTGTGGTCTTTATACACAATGGAATGCTACTCAGCCATAAGAAAAGATAAAATCTTGCCATTTGCAACAACATGGATGGACCTTGAGGGTATTATGCTAAGCGAAATAAGTTAGAGGGAGAAAGTCAAATACCGTATGATCTCACTCATAAATAGAAGGTAAAAGCAGCAACAAACACACACAGAGAGACGTAGATTGGAGTCACGGTTACCAGAGGGGAAGGGGGAGGGAGGAGGGCGAAAGAGGTGATTTTCACATGTGTGCGGGGGATAGATGGTACTTAGTCTTTGGGTGGTAAACATGATGTAATCTACAGAGAAACCAAAATGTAATGATGAAAATTATGTAATGATGAAATTTATATTATGTTATGAACCAATGTTACCACAAAAAAAAGAAGAAAGCTTTCCTAATCATTAATGAGCCTGATTCTAGAATTTATGAAAGTTCACCATGTTTCCAGCAAATGATTGACATGGTTCCACACTGGGACACCAAGAGACCCCCAGTCGTATCCACGCAGAGTAGTATGCTGGAAGATCCCAGAACTGAGGGCCCTCTGCCTGTACAACCCCAGGCCCCAGAATGGTGTACACCACCCGGTAAGGTAATAATCCAGCTGCACCAGCCACACATGGTGTCCAGGGTGCAGACCTGCGGTGGACTGAGGCAGTGCTCCACAGCGACCCAGCCTGGCAGCCGGGCAGAGGCCAGAGAAGGACTCGGAAAGGACGCTGAGCTTCGCCTCTGCTACCAAATTGTGTGTGTTCCCGTCCAAGGTCAACAGAAAGGCCTTCTCAGACAAGAGGAAATAGCATCTGCTTTCAGGGGCCTTCCAGATAAATGGCCTGCTGGTTCTTGGGGTGCTGCCCTGAGCCCCAGAGGGCGGGTCAGAATCCACACCCACAGTGGACAGTGATGACTAGAACACGCTGGCAGCGGTACTCAGACAAAGCTAAATACCTGTGAAAAATTAGGCTACGAAATTTGATTATAAAGGAAAAGTCCTTGAAAGATGATACTGTCTTAAAACTTTCCGGACTTAGCAGCCCCTCCCACTCCAGTCGGCTGCTAGAGCATGGTGGGCTTTGGGAGGGGATCCCACACCTCAGCTGCCCTCGGAGGGTGGGGAGCTGGCTGTGCCCCCCGGGCCCTGGGCTGCCTGCCCCCCGGACGCACTCCTGCAGCCTCCTATCCCAGAATCAGCATCTCTCTCTCTGTTCAGCCGTTCTCGGCAGACACAGCGTTCTGCTGTCTCTTCATCTTGATCCAAAACCCCTTTGAGCCCACTTTCCCCTCTCCTTCTGCTTTAAAGGAAACCCCCAAAGGGTTGGCTGGCTTCCTCTCTCCACTCTTCTCCACCATCCTCTTTCCAACACGCTGCTCTCAGGCCACTGAACCCACCAGCTCACCCGGGGCCCGCTCCTCTTGCCAACCCGACCTGCCCTCACTGGGGCTTTGGGCAACTGCAGCCCCCTCTCCCACCCCAGCCACCCACTCCTGAGGACAAGCCCCGTATAGCACGTGGTCCAGGAGAGGGAGGGGCCAGATCCCACTCTGGCACACCAGCTCCCTGTGGGCCCCGTGGCTCCTGGAGGATGGGTTGTGGGTGAGCGTGTCTCAGGGGAGTCTGGGCAGAGCTGCCCCGCCCCTACACGGCCAGCCCTCACGTCTGGAGCCCTTTCTCTTCCAGACTCAGAGGGAGTGACCATGACCACCATCGTGAATATACCTCCCAGTGAGGAGCAGACGGAGATCTCGCTGGGAGAGGTTAGCAAGGCCCACCTGCCCCAAGCCCACCATCCACTAGCCGTGTCCTCCTGACCCCCTCCCCCAGGGCAGCCCTTCCATTTGACCAGAGCCAGACTGGGCTTGTCTGGCCGCTGGACTCACAGCCTCTGGGAAGCCTGCAGTCTCAGCTGGCATCCAGCCCCCCTGTCGCGGGGCGCTAGGTCCAGCTCGGAGAAGATACCAGCAGCAGGGCCCCCAGGCTGGAGCATGGTGTGTGTGTGTGTGTATGTGTGTGCACACATGTGTGCAAGGGCCAGGGGTTGTCAAGGAGAGCGAGTGTGGGGAGCATTTGGGGACGGGGTTCAGCTGCCCTTCACCTCCTCCACTTGACTGGGATCCCGGGCAGCGAGTCCTCTTGGGGCAAGGCCAGGCTTGGGCCCAGGTCTGTGTGGCCACGTGGCCTCCCCAGGGACACAGGTCCTGCCACCACTCACCTCACAGTGATGTGGCCGTGGGGAGGGCAGTGGGCGGCGCCTTCAGAGAAACAGGAGCCTGACGGACCCTGTGGCGTCTTCCCACGCAGATAAGAGAGGGTGAGATTGGCCCCTTCAGCTCCATCAAAGTGCCCGTCATCTTCACCCCGGTCCTCCCGGGAGCCGTCCACACCAGGTTCAAGGTCGTGTTTAAGAATCCGCAGTGCCCGACGGTGAGCATCACCATGGCTTATGCACGTTGTCACCGCACCACACTCTGGGCAGTATTATTTTGATAATAAAAAGGATTTTGGGGGGGCAGCCCTGTGGCGTAGTGGTTAAGGTTGGCGCACTCTGCTTCGGCAGCCCGGGTTCACAGGTTCAGATCCCTGGCACAGACCTAGACCACCCGTCAGCCATGCTCTGGTGGTGACCCACATAAAACTGGAGCAAGACTGGCACAGTCGTTAGCGCAGGGCTAATCTTCCTCAGAAAAAGGATTTTTTTTAAGTTATATAATATGAAAAGTGTCACAGAACTCCAAAACGTGGCTAGCTTAATTATTAACCTTCCAATATCTGTAAGACTTACAAAAACTCTACCCCCGAGTTCTGTGTTAAGACTCTTTGGCATCGCCTGCTTTGCTGGTGGAAATACACGTTGTTGAATTTACACGTTCAAATTTAGTTATGTTTCAGGGTTATTGGCGTTGCCATCGACGTGCCAGTCTGGGTGCCAAAGCCCAACGTGGACCTGAAGATATGCATGTACGACCGGCTCTATCAGGATTCTGTCCTTGTCCACACACGGTGAGCCCTGAGCTCAGGGAGCATGGGACCCACAGGTGTGATTGAGTTAAGGACCTTGAGATGGGGGATCACCCTGGTCACCTGGGAGGCCCACTGGAATCCAAGGTCTTCACAGGAGGGAGGCAGGAGGGTCAGAGTCAGACCAGAGACTGGAAGATGCTGTGCTGCCCGCTGCAAAGAGGAGGAAGGGGTCACGAGCCAAGGGATGCAGTGACTCTGGAAACTAGAAAAGCCAGGAAACGGATTCTCCCTGGAGCTTCCAGAAGGATGTGGCCCTGCCCACCCCTGGACTTGCTGAGAACCTACCGTCTCTGAGATCTGACTAGGGCCGTACTTCAGTTGCAGTGTTTTCATTTGTGAGAATTCCTCATCAGATTTGCTTACAGGAGGACCAGCCCTTAACAAGCGGGGTTTTGGGGACCCTTGCTCCCTCGCTCTGGGCTCACGGCTTGGCGTGGCGTGTGTGTGCACCGAGCACCCGGGCACAGCTGGGTGGTGAGAACCAGCAAGTCGCTCAGAGGATTAAACATGCGGCATCACGTCTTGTGTCCGTAAACGCGCTGCAGGTCGAAAGCAGCCCTACGCCTGAAGTTCGAGGTGTGCAAGGAGCTGAGGGGCCACTTGGAGCTCCTGCCTGAGATGGGCTACATCCAGGCCCTGTCGTCCTACTCGGTGCAGCTCAAGTTCCTGCCGCGGTGAGCGGTGGGAGGCCCGGCAGGGGTGGGTGGTGTCATTCTGCCCAGCTGTCAGGGCTGCCGCGTTAGATGCGTGTCTCATCGCCATTATATTTCGTATATTTTGTAGCGCCTGCCTGATTTCAGAACACCACTTATCATTCAGTTTTACTAGTTTTTTTGCAAAATATGAAGAAGACAGGTCCATTCAAGAGCATCCTGTCTCTTTCAGACACTCCCTCCCGGAAGACGCAGGGAAGTATTTCGACAAGGAAAGCAGAGTGCTGGAGGCCCCGATGACGATACGGGTGGCTGACCAGGTCTGTGTGGACCCCTTCCCAGGACTGCTGGGCGCTCTTGGGGAACAGAGGGCTGCTCTGGGAGCTGGGCTCTGTGCCCGAGTGAGGCCCCCAAAAAGACAGGGCCCTGATTCTTGAGCCATCCTTGCCCGGCCTCTTTCCTGTGGCAGGTCTCCAGTCATCTGACCAGCAGATTTGTCTCCTGCCTCAGCAGCCCCTGCACAGTGGAGACAAAGGGAGGGTGTTTGTGGGTCAGACAGAAGCCTCTGAGTGCTGTCCAGGGCCAGGTGGGGCTGTCCCCAAGGCACCCCAACCCTCAAATGCCCACATGCACGCACGCAGTATGTCACACGCTCCCAGACACATGTGTTTGTACACTTGTGCACACACAATCTGCACACACTCACAGACTGAGGCACACATGTGTGAACATCCTCAGTACACATGCACATGTGTGCATACACAATACACGGCACATGGAGACACATGGGTGTACTCACACGCCCACGCCTGGCCTGCCTGTGGCTCCTCCCCTCCCCCTTGGCACCTCTTTGTGGCGGCTTCGTTCACATCCCCCAGGCCGGGGGACTGCAGTGAAGTGGATTTATCAGAAGACAGACTCGTGTGCACGAAAGGGTGTGCTGTCACCCAGCAACGCACGTGCCTCCCTCACTTTGGGAACATTTGCATGAACCTCCCACAAGTGACCAGCACGCTTGCCTTTTGTGTTTAGACCAAACCCGTGGGGTTTACCGTCCACGCCATAGTCACCACCTCAGACATGGAGCTCAGCCCCTCGGAGGTGGACTTTGGCTACTGCACTATCTACGAGGCCGTCAGGACCCAAGTCAGCCTCTGCAACCACTCCCTCCTACCTCAGGAGTTTGGGTTCGTCGGGCTCCCCAAGGTACCTCACATGGCCGGGCAGGGCATAGGGGCCAAGTCAGGAGGCTCTGGGGACAGGCAAGGCCCAGCACCAAGCGGCCTCACCCCTCCCCATACCCCACTCCCACCTCCAGGCACCTTGACCAGGTATCTCTCCTGGTTATCCCTCTCGTCGTCCCCGCTGCCTGCTATTGCTGCCTCGCCTGGCCTCTCCCCGTCTCCGTCCGCTGTACCCACAGGACTCCAGATTCCTCTCCCTTCCTTCCCTTCCAAAACTCTTGCTGCCTGGCCCTGCAGGGCAGCCAAGACGAGGCCCAGGCCTGTCTGCCCCTCACCCCTCCCTGGGCTGCCCTGCCAGCAACCCCACTATCCACTCACATACACAGACACACATACACACGTGTGCTCACATGCATGAAGACGCCCATGTATACCAGACATACATATACACCCTCACACATGGAGACACACACTCGTGCTCATGTACATGCACTCACACATGCACACACACATACATGCTCGCATACAATGCACACACACTCACACACATACAGACACGCGTCCCCACTGCTCGCGCTCATGCACTCCACAGCCCTGCAGCACACACTCCACACCGCCCGTGACACCCCCAGCAGATCACCGTGACTGCATCGGCATCGGTGGTCTTCCTTTGCCAGTTTGTGGACATCCAGCCCAACGACGGGTTTGGGACAATCCTGCCACTGGAAACTCTGCAGCTCGATGTGGTCTTTCAGCCCACCAAGGCCAGGGACTACAACTTCGAGCTCGTCTGCAAGTCAGAGATCAACCGGTGAGCCTGGTGGGAGAGGGCGCGTGGAGGCCTGTGCAGCCAGCTTGGGGGCAAGGGGTGGAACCCCTCCCACCACCCTTGAGCCCTCAGCCGGCCAGGCTGACCGCGGGGTTGGGCTGGGCAACACTGCTGGCCGCGGGAACCTCAGTCCCGGGTACAGATGCCTGGGATTTGGGGCCTTGCACTCTGGGCCAGCTCGCCCTTGTGTGTGAGCATGTGTGTATGAGTGTGAGTTCATGTGAACATATGTGTGAGCATGCATGTGTGAATACTTGTGTATGAGAGTATGAGTGTTTGCATGCATATGCGCGTGCATGTGTGGATGTGTGTGTGGAGGGTGTGCATGCATATGACTGACTTCATGTGTGAGTGTACGTGTGTGGACATGCATGTGTGAGTGCATGTGAGCATGCTTGTGTGCACGTGTGGACGTGGACGTGTGTAATATGGGGGGTGTGCATGAGTACAAGTGTGTATGTGTGTGTGTGAGCGTGTGTGTGGTGTGCAGAGCACCCCTCTGCCCTCAGGAGGACCTGGGCATGAGCCCTGCTTCCTGTAACATGCTGTGTGATGGGGCCACTCTCTGAACCTCCCTGAGCCTCCATTTCCGCCACTGAGAGTCAGGGCTGAGATGGTGGCAGGCAGGGAGACGTGGAGCAGGTCACGCAGGTGGTGGTCTGGGATATGGGGCCGGCTCTCGTTGCTGCCTGGGATTATCTGCCTCCAGTGAGGAATGTTCTGGAATGTCCCTTCATGGGCGTCCAGCCTGGCATCAGTTGTCCTCCCGTGGAGCCAGCCCACCCTGCCTCCTCTTCTCTCGTCCCGCCCCCATCCACGTTCCTGCTGGAGCTGCTGTCTGGTCCTGGCTGGTGGCCTGGGCAGGCCTGGTTGGGGCAGGCTGGCCAGAGGCCTGGAAGAGCTGCCCCCCAGCCCTCAGACCAAGCCCTCATCCAGCTCGGGCCCCCGGGCAGGCCCATCAGGCTGCCCAGGATCTGACTCCAGCATTCGTGGGGAAGAAGGAGTGAGCTGGTGGTGGCGAGATTTTAGGAGGTAAAGCTCAGGATCAGGAGCCACCATAGGAATCAAGGGGACCCGACTCTTCCGGTCGGTCAGCCCCACCCCCAGCACTGCGCCCCTCCCACCGGGTCCCGTGGCCCACTAGGGCACTGCAACACGGCTCTCTCTGCCTCCAGAAAACAAGTCCCAGGAGAAGCAGGCTCTTACCTGCTTCCTCAGTGGGGCAAGCCCTGTGCCCAGCACGTGCTCTGCCTCAGCAGACGCTCCACAGAGGCTGCAGGAAGCTCCAGCCTAAGGCCACAGTACTTACGGCAGAGCCTGAGCAGACAGGCGGAGTCTGCAGCCTGGACGAGACCCAACTCAGACACTCAACCGGGACCCTCGTGGGCCCAGCACGTCCCCTGTCTGGCTCCCTGGGTGCGGCTACCTGCCAGCCCACTGGACATCCCAAAGGTGTCTCTGATCTGCTGTGTCCACAGTGGAACACCTCATCCACTCCCCGCCCCTCCCGGACCTGCCCCACCTGCAGCTCCAGCTTCCTGTGGCTCAGACGGAAACCTCGGCCTTGTCCTTACTCTTCATTCTCTCACCTCACATCCGAGTTGTCAGCAAATCCTGCTGGCTCCACCTTAAAAATATACCTGAATCACCTCCACACCCCGCATGGATGGCAGGGCCCCGCTGGCCTGGTCTTCCTGCCTCCACCCTGGGGAGCACGTCCCTCCAGAGACCACCAGCCCTTGCCCCTGCCCCTGCCCTGCCCCCTCCCCGGGACACACCTCCCGCGGGTCCGTGAACATCAGGCTCCACCAGCCCCCGCCCACTGGGTGGACGTGCAGCCGTTCACCTGTCCAAGGACACTGAGGTCGGTTCCAGGTTGGGGCGTCCATGGACGAAGCTGCTCTAAACATTCACACGTAGGTTTCTGCGTGAGCCTGAGTTTTCATTCCCCTCAGCAAATATCTAGGAATGAGTTCACAGGTAATGTGGTAAGTTTGTTTTTAATTTTATAAGAAGCCACCCAACCGTTTTCCAAAGTGGTGGTACCATTTTACGTTCTCGCCAACGACGTGTTGGGCACTGCAGGAGCTCCACGTCCCCACCAGCCCTGAGGACCATCTCATCCATGTGTTTAGGGGACCAGGAGGCACTCGAACAGCTGAACAGTAGCAAATGCAGTGTTGACAACGTGCGTTGGGGTAACAGTGAACGGTTGGCCCAGCTGACCCGCTGCCTCCAAGTCACAGGTGACAGCATCTGGCATGTCTCAGTGACGCCACCCCGGGCAGAGGCTTCCGGCTCTTTCCTTGTAAAAAAGTGAGGGCCTAAGAGAGTTGCCAGATTCAAAATAATGTTGGAAAATGCGTTGCCATGTGAATTTCTGGCATATAAAGAAAAGGAGTTCAAAGGGTCGAGTGACGTTGGGGAGCCAAGCCCCCTCCATGCCCAGGTTCCGTGTGGGTGGAAGGAAGAGGCAGGCTGCTCCGGCCACAAGTCACATCACTCTGACACTTGAACCAACTGGGAAAGAGCAGCTCCACCCACCTTCCTAGGATGATTCCGATAAAACCTTCCTTTTCACGTGCAATGGTTGTCACACTTCATACATTGCTGTTTTCCATTACTTGAGGGCCAATAATAACCTCAAGGATTTCTCCACCCAGGAGGAATTTTTTTTTAACATTTAGAGCCTGTGATCAGAGGACATAAAAATATACATTGAAACATGTCACCGGATAAACAAATACACATTGAAACATTTCAACGTCCGAACCTTTTTTTTGTTGCAGACATGACGATGGAGCAATGAACAGCATCCTTTAAAGCATTAAAACATAGGCAATTAGGATGAAATTCAGTGGGGAGAGTGCAGTGGAAATAGGAGTTCAAAGAAAATATGGAATGTAAATTTTCCGTGGTTAAAATATCAAACATCTGTTCTTTTTTTCTTAGATAATGGCGGGAATCAACTCACTGTGGTATACAGATTCTCATGCTTATATTTAAGGAGCAATTTATCACTTATTTTTCAAACGTCAATAAATATTTAACAGAAGTCAGAAATTACCTCCTTCGCAACTATTGAAACCTATGATTAAAATTTTAACTATCCACTTAAAATGTGCACAGAGGCACGCAGTATTTTCCGTAATTCATGAAGCGGGGAGTGAACGAAACCTGTGAGAACTGCCATTGTGGTCCCAGGCCTCCCTGGGCATGAGGTGCTCTGCACACGGGGGCTGCCCACCCGACTCGGGCCACCTGGCCATGGCTGCAGAGGGATCCGCCAACCCCCCAGGTGCCCTAGGGTGAGCCCACCCACGCTGGTCGCTTCCAGGTGCTTCAAGCTGACGTGCCGGGCCATGGGTGTGCACCCGCCCCTGGAGCTGTCCCACTACCAGATCAAGTTTGCGGCCACCTCCTTGTACGACACATCCGTGGCCACCCTGTACGTCATCAACTCTCACGTGAGCGTCAATGCGCTGATCCACTCTGTGCCCCGTGTCGGCTCGGAGGAGGCCTGCCCCGTGGGGCCCACATCTTTCGAGTTCCTGCTGTCCCCGGACTTGCCCATCACCATCTCACCCTCCGTGGGAACGGTGTGTCCAGGAAAGGTGGGTGCAGGCCCCACAAGTGAGCAGGGGCCAGAGCCCCTTGGGGTGCCTGGCTCTGCTGGCCCTTGAACACAGCGGATGTGCAGGTCAACTCTGCTCCTCATCAGACCCAAGCAGGGCCAAGGAGGCCTCCGCGGCCGATGAGCAGGACCTGGTAGGGAGAGGACACGGAGACGACCTTGACCCTGCCTGGGTCTGATGAGACTCCACCCAGCCCAGCCTGAGCCCCAGAGGCAGGGGTGCCCACAGTGGCTGGCCTCCAGGCACCTGGCTGGGGCTCAAGCTGTTCAGACTGAGGGAAGGGGTGCAGCCCCTTGGATGGCACAGCAGATGGGCACAGAGGCCACGCGGCACCTGGTCACCAAGAGTGCAGGGTATCTGTCCACTCCATCAGTCATGGGTTTCCCCGCCTTCTGCTTTTCCTGATAAAGCAGGAAGAACTCGGGCTGGAGGCAGAGTTTCAGGTCATCCCCTGTCCCCCGGGCCATCACAGCCTCTCTGAGCTTCATTCCTTACCTTCAAAAGTTAGGGGCCGGCCCAGTGGAGCAGCAGTTAAGTTTGCACGTTCCGCTTCTCAGCAGCCCAGAGTTCGCTGGTTCAGATCCCAGGTGCAGACATGGCACCGCTTGGCAAAAGCCATGCTGTGGCAGGTGTCCCACGTATAAAGTAGAGGAAGATGGGCATGGATGTTAGCTCAGGGCCAGTCCTCTTCAGCAAAAAGAGGAGGATGGGCAATAGTTAGCTCAGGGCTAATCTTCCTCAAAATAAGTAAATAAATAAATAAAATAAAGTTAGGGTGACAGCCATTGTGATGTCTGTTGGGAGGACTAGGTAAGAACCGGCCCAGGAAGGTGCTGGGGATGCCTGGGCCCCGGCAGGGTTTCACCAAGTATGTTATTTAAAATGCATTTCATTAAATGTAGCAAATTCTGCTTAAGTAATGGTCCTGTGTCCCGGGGGTACTCCAGCTGTGCTTGGGCCTTCTCTCTCCCTCTGTCTCCCTCCCTCTCTCTCTACCCCCCTCTCTCCCCTCCATGCTGTCTTTGCTGTACTGAGCACTGGGGAGACCATGAGGAGCCAGTCCTCTTGGGACCTTGGACTTCCCGTGGGAGGAACTGCAATGAGGAGGTGCTTTGGAAAGGCTGCTGTGTGGCCACAGGGACAGGTTAGGGCACAGGAACTCACCCCCCAAATCTGAATGGCTGAAAACGAAGGTTCGTTTCTCACTGGGCCTCATGGGCAGTGGGCCGGGTCTGGCCCATCCAGGGCCTCCATCATGGGGAGCCTTACCCTGGATGGTAAGTGTGGGCTGGTCATCATGCCCTGCAGCCCACCCCCACTTCTCAGGGGTCAGGGGGCAGGGAGGGCCTTCCCAGAAGGGGCATGCTAGGCTGAAATCCCAAAGAGGAGATGGAGGCATCACACCAGGAGTGTCAGAGAGCGTGACCTCGAGGAGTCCAGGGGAGGTGGGACACGGGGTGCTGAGGAGGGCAAGGCACCAGCGGGGGCCAGCTCTGCCCTCTGGGCTCCTCTCCCCACAGAGGTGCCTGGTCCAGGTGGCCTTCCGGCCGGTGCTGCCCAGCAAGCTGATCCAGCAGGAAGCCTTCCAGGCCCTGACCAAAGAAGCTGAGGGCAAACTGGTGCGTGGGGAGGCCCTGAGAGGAGGGCACAGAGGCATGGGGTGGGGCCTGCTCGGGGAGAAACGCTGCAGCCCCTTGAGGCTCTGGGCCCAGGCCCCTGTGCCAGGAGCGCTGGGCAGACTGTTCTGCAACGTTGTTGTGTCAAGCTGTTTCAAGAGGTTGAAACTTTCTTGGCAAAGCCCCTCCTCCTGTCTTGAAGGCAGCACCAGGCAGGTGGACCCCAGAGGGTAGTCTCGGGAGGATGGGCCAGCCACCCTGTCCCCCCCATGCCCCCGCCCCTGGCAGTGATGAGCAGATGGGGCTTCCACTAACCGAGTTTCACAACAGAGGGGAGCAGATCAAATGGCACACGGCTTGCGGCTCTGAACAAGTACAGCTGCTGACCCCACGAGGGGAGAGCAGCCTGGGAAGAAGGGGGAAGTCGATCGGGGGATAGACCCCACCACAGGCCCAGCCCTGGTGACGTGGCCGCACAAGCGCTTCTGCCGGGAAGGCGTCCACGCGGACCCACCCGGAGCTGTGCAGGCAGGGCCAAGTGATGCCCACCCACTCGGCCCGGGGACCCGAGGGACACTGCACTTGTCCACGTCCGGATCTGTGCCTTGAGCACGCTTGCTCGAGCACGTGCTGGAGGAGGAAGCACTTAGGTTCGCCCTGTGGGCCGGGCAGCAAAGTGCGGGCAAAGGGCACCAGGCACAAGGACCCCGGTCCTGGCCGACTCTTCACCTTCTCTGTCCCTCAGTTTCCCTGTTGGTGAAGGCAGACACTAGTATCGGTGCACAGGTCTCTGCACGGGGACCATCACTCAGCCCTTCTGCACGTGCTGCCAGTCTTTCTGAGGGAGCCTCTTGGTGTTTGGGTCCCTGTCCCCTCCAAACGCATGCCCCCGGGGACCCTGCCCTGGGTGGTCTGCCCAGGCCTGGGCTGGGCCCTAGGGGAGCTGCAAGGGGCGGCTGGGTGGCTGCCGGGCTCAGCAGAGCCCTGAGGGGCCCACAGCCTGCTCTCCCCCTCCAAGTCCTACAAGGACATGGCCCCCCAGAGGAAGGACCTGCAGAGACAGTCCGTCTCCACGCTGCGACTGCAGAACCGAGACCGGCTGTTCCGGGCCTCCAGCAACCAGCCTCCAGAGCAGCAGAAGCAGGACCTTAGGTGCAGGTGGGCCTGAGAGCCAACTGCCCCACTTCTTCCCTCCAGGCCCTACTGAGGAGACCCTGCCCTGGCCCCCACGGGGATTTTCCCCCACAGACTGCCTGGAACAGAGCTGTTTTGACCTGGAAGTCCAGGGCTGCGCTAGCTTCAGACACAGCTGGATCCAGGCGCTGCCTTGAGGCCCCTCAGGCTCTGCCTTCCTGGGCATCTGCCTACCCCATTCCCCTGGGCCTGATGTCCCTGTGAACAGCCTCATGCCACTCCCATATCCCCAGCTCAGCCTCCCCAAGTTCAAATGAGCCCAAGAGAGCTCTGATGGGCTTTTGTCACTTGTCAGCCCTGGACTCTTGCCTGCGGCCCCAGGAATGTGGCTCTCTGGTTAAGTGCCTGACCAGGACCCTGGGTGGGGGAGGGCCCCACGGGAAGCAAGGAAGAGGCGAGGAAGCTAGCTGGCCAGACAAACCTGGGACAGCTGCAGCCTGGCCCCAGCCTGCTGCCCCTCACCGTCTGGCCCAGGGCCCTGGGGAGCAGGTGTGGCCTCATGGACCCCTCCATGGAGGTGGGGCAGGGCCTCCAGTCTGCTAGGGGGCAGCAAGGGCAGGGGCATGAGTGCACTTTTCCGGCTCCACTCCAGCTCTCACGAGGACCAGGTTGCCCGGGCCACCCTGGTCAGATCTTTCCCGGGGAAGTTCGACAAGTTTGTGATCCCTTGTGTCGTTGCCAGTGGCGACATCCAAGACCGGAAGGGGATGGAACCCCTGAGCTTCAGGTGTGGCATCTGGTCAGGGTGGGGTGTGGCCGGCTAAAAAGTTACCATCCCTCCTCTGCTGCCAACCCAGATCTGGGGCCTCGGGGTGGGGCCCGGTGGCTGGGGTGAGTCGGGGCCAGGGCTGAGGGTCAGGCCGTGGGGGTGGGTCCTGGTCCATCGGCGTGCCGGCCCTGCCTCCAGTCCCCACAACACCCTGTACCTGGAGCTGTGGTGTCCAGCGGTGGCACCGTCCATCGTAGTGACGTCCAACAAAGGCACGACCATCTCCAACTTTGGCCACATCGCTGTAGGTGAGTCTTGGTTGAGCCCAGCCCCCACCCCCACATTGCCACCCACAGGGACCCAGGCCCCCAAGGCACCTCCTGGCCCGGAGGCACACCCCACCCCAGCCTGGGGCTGTGACCCGACTCCCTGGTCCGGTTTCAGGACACTGCGGCGTAAAGAAGGTCTCCATTCAGAACATCTCCCCTGAGGATCTGGCCGTATCCTTATCCACACCCAGCCCAGGCAGCTTGCAGGGAGTGGGGAGGGGTCTGGGGAGGGGTCGTGGCCCACCCTCGACACCTCTCCTTGACACCGGCCCTCAGGTGGAGTTCTCCATGCTGAACCCCAACGGCCCCTTTGTCCTGCTGAACCCTATCCGCAAGCTGCTGGCGGGTGAGACCCAGGTCCTGGCGCTGTCCTTCTCTCCCCGCGAGAGCGTCCTGGTAAGTCCCAGGCCCACCCTGAGCCATGCCGCAGCCCCAGGCTCCGTGGACCAGCGCGACACTGCACACCCGCATGTGCTCAGGCCCGGAGCTGTCCCAGTAGGCCCTGGGAGCAGCCAGTCCTCCTGGGCCCTCCCCTCTGACCCGCAGGCGGAGGCTGGGGAGCTCCCAGAGGACTCAGCGCCAGCGCCCCCAGCTGGGTGCCGGAGCTGCTCCCGGGGCAGAGCTCCTGCACATGCCTCTACAATGTCTGCTCCTCACTAAGGGACGTGGTCTCCGTAGGCCCAGGAAGCGCTGGACATCATCACCAAGAGAGGCACACTCTCCTTGACCCTCGTGGGGACCGGCGTGGCATCCATGATCACGTGCTCCATTGAAGGGGATGTCCTCAACATGGGCTACGTGATTGCCAGGGAGTCTGTCTCCTCGGGATTCAAGGTGGAGCACCTCGCAGGGGCCCTGGTGCCTGCCCCAGCCTCCTAGGAGGGGGCTCCTCCTTGGGAGGGGTTGACTCTGCCTTGGTGGGGAGCCATTGGAGGTGCAGGCCATGCCCTTGCCCGCCCCACACACCTGCCACCTCCACTGACCTCTCCAGCAGGAGAAGGCTGAGGATGCCACCTCCCTCCACCCCTTAGCTGCCCTTGCCTCCTCAGTGCTCTTTGTCCTCCTGCCTCAGGGCCTTTGTATGGGCCATCTCACCAGGATGAGTTGGAGCTCAGCTCAGGTACCTCTAGGGGAGAGGTGGCAGACTTCCCTGGTGGGTCCCACTGCCCTGTGGTCTCCCACGCCCTTGCAGGAAGGCAGGTCTGGCTCCCAGGGTCCCTCCAGCTTCTAAGACACACCAGCCTCCAGATCAAGCAGCCCTCGGGACACCTGCTTCCTCGCCTGGCTCAGATTGGGTCCTGGCAGCAGCCCAGGGACTGGAATTCCCTGAAGAGTTTTATTGAGGAGGGGGCGCTCTCAGGAGAAGGGTGTGAGGGCGGGCACAGAAGCTGAGTGGGGACAGTGGTTCCGCAGAAGGCTAACCTGAGCCTGACAGCAGAGGGAGCCCTGGAGGACCGAGGGCCCCACAGGTGGCTGAGGCCAGTGCGCCAGCCCGCAAGAGGGATGATGTGAGGCTGGACGAGATGAACCAACGCTCAATAATGTGTCACAGGCGCCGGCTGGGGATCGTTGAAGACGGGGGCGATGGTCCCTCGGCAGGGTGTGGCCCAGAGGACAGGCACAGACTGAGGCCTCGTTGTGGCATCCTGCCCATCGTAGCTGGATGGGCCATCCAGTGACAGGGACCCTCTCCTTGCAGCTGCAGAACAACTGCTCACTGCCCATCAGGTTCTCCCTGCAGCTGGACAGCCTCTCCAGCACGAGGGCCAAAGCCCGGCAGCAGCTGCCACAGTTCCTCACCTCACGGGCCAAGAGGGCAGAGGTCGTGGGTGAGCTGATGGGCAGGGCATGGGGGCGTGGTAGGCAGAGGGGCTGGGGGGACAGGACGATGTGGGGGGTGGGTGGGGGCAGGGATGGGGCCAGACGGGAAGGCAGGGTTTGCGGTGGGGTGGGGCACCGGAGGCCATCAGGAGTGTGGGGCGGGGGAACGCTGGGCAGCAGGCGGTGTGAGCCAGGTACAAGGTGACCCACCCACCGCCGCCCACAGGCGTGCAGAACCACAGCGGCCAGAGTGTGTTCAGCGTGGTCCCGGTCGAGGGCGTCCTGGAGGCGGGCGGGGCGCAGGACTTCACCGTGACCTTCAGCCCAGACCACGAGAGCCTGTACTTCTCTGACCGACTACAGGTCGTGCTCTTGGAGAAGGTGCGCCGCCCCCACCCCAGCCCCTCTCCCACCCACCCCCCACCTGCTGGCCCTTCCCTGCTCTGCCCACTTGGACCCCCCAGCCAGGCCTGAGGACTCCTGCTGGGCTGGGGGTCATCAAGTGGAGAGACCAGTGCCCCAGATCCCTTGGCCCTGCTCCTCTGGAGCCCCAGGTGCGAGGTCACAGGACGAGGCTGCTGTGCTCCTCGTCCCCAGAAAATCTCCCGCCAGATCCTCCTGAAGGGCGCAGCGCGTGAGCACATGATGTTCGTGGAGGGCGGAGACCCCCTTGATGTGCCTGTGGAGTCCCTGACTGTGATCCCTGCCTTGGACTCCGAGCACAGAGAGGGTGAGCCTTCTGAGGGGGTGGGAGCCCAGCAGTGATGGCAATAAGAGCACCCCACCCACTCCTCAGCCACATCCGTAACCCTGGGAAGCCTGCAGGGTTGGGCCAGCATTCCTGGCTTCCTGGCTTATCCCCCAAAGCAAGGGGGGCATGCTAAACGGAGATTTCATGAGGACCAGCTCCTCCACTCCTCGCCTGACCCTGGGCGGCTCCCTCGCTCCTTTGGCCACATGCCACCCAGCCAACCCAGCCAGGCCCTCCCTCTCCAGAAGCGGAGGAACTGAAGCCCATCCTGGTGACCCTGGAATACCTCCAGCTGGACGTGGACATGCCAGCCCCACCTGCCACCCGAGAGCTGCACGTGGGCTGCATCCGGACCACCCAGCTGTCCCCAAAGAAGGTGACTGCAGCACTGCCCCAGCCTGCCTGGCACCTCTGCGACCGCCCCTGCCTGGGCCTCCCAGGCCGTTCCTGACCTCACCCCTTGATGGGGGGGGAGGGGGGCAGCCTGCTGGTCAGGGCTGAGAGGGTGGGTGGAGCTGGGCATCCTGGCCCCCAGCCTCGCTGCCCCCTGGGAGCTGTGCCAGGCCTACCGGCCTGCCAGCAGCTCCAATGTCCCATAGACTGTCGAGTTCAGCTTGGATAGCATCACGTCCCTGCAGCACAAGGGCTTCACCATCGAGCCCTCCAGGGGCTTCGTGGAACGCGGCCAGACCAAGACCATCAGCATCTCCTGGACGCCACCTGCCGACTTTGATGTGGGTGCCAGGGACTGTGGCCAGAGACCCCTGTGAAAGCCAAAGGCTGGGCAAGATGATACCCCTTCCCCACCCCTGAGAGGGGGCTGCTGGGTGGGCCCTGGGTGGGTGAGGTGGGTGAGGTGGGCAGATCTGCCTGAGGGTCTCCCTCCTTCCTCCCCACTCCTATTCCAGCCGGACCACCCACTCATGGCGTCAGCCCTGCTGCAGCTCAGGGGGGACGTGAAGGAGCTCTACAAGGTCCTCTTTGTAGCCCAGGTGGTGAGCAGCCCCGGAGGCCACAGGAGTCTTTCCACGTAGCCCCCGCAGACCCTCCCGCCCATCCTTGCAGCCCTCCCCTAGTCTAAGACCAGGCCGATCCATCCGGGACTTGGGACCTGCACATCCCCTGCTGAGCAGGTTCGAATGGGCAGCCCTCTGCACCGCCCCATGGCCAGGGCACCCCAGCCCCAAGGCGTGGCCACTTCCTGCTGCCCTGGACCCGGTGAGCCAGGGGCCACGAGCACCCCCTCCCTGGCCCCCACGCTCAGAACCAGCAATTAGGCCAATCCTGCCTACAACCTACTCCTAACATGAGCCCCTCAGAGCCCCCAGCCCCACCGGCACCTGCCCAGCCTTTAGAGGCCTCAGTCGGGGGAAGAGCTGCCCCACGGGTCTGCCAATAAACCCTCTGCAAGCTGCTGCATACAGACCTGCAGTGCAGGCAACAGTGAGTCATTTGCTGGGGCGAGCACAGAATGAGAGGTGGGGACAGAGCCCTGGGGAGGCAGCCCCCTGTCTCCCACCCACACACGCGCGAATCAGTCCATAAAACAATGAACTCTGCCTGGGAGACTAAGGAGGGGCTTCCTGGAGCACTGGGGGAACAGCTGGCAGGCCAGGGTGCAGGGGTGCGGGGCTGGACTTGAAACGCCCAGACCCGGAGAGGCCCAGCAAGGAGGGAGACTGGGGCAGGAGGCTCCAGAGGCCGGGGCACCCTTCAGGCCTCCTTGTTCCTCCCAAGTTTAGGATCCCTGCTGTCCCCAAGAAAGGAGCGAGCCAATGTCAGGGACACACCCTCACTCATGTCCTCCCTCAGAGCGTGGCCCGGTCCAGGGTGAGGCCCCAGTGCATGAGTCTGGTTTCCCACCTTTCTGAACTGAGTCCAGGCTCGGCCTTCTGGGCCCCAACCAGCCCTGCAAGGTAGAAGCCCCCCCAGCCTGTGAGACAGTCCTGGGAGCTCAGAATGGTGTCCGCACCCCAGCCCCTACCTTGTAGATAGTGGCTGGTTGGACACTGTCCCCACAGAGCCCACCCCCCAGGAGAACATGCGCAGCCCGCCCCAGCAGGGGTGGAGGGCACAGTGCATCCGGGGCCTTTCCTGAGCACTGGCTTCAGGACACCAACCTGGAGCCACCTGTCCTCACCCCAGCTCCTCGTTGCCCTTGGTGCCTGGAAGCTGCTATCTCCCTCACCTCGAGCTGGTGACAGCGACCCTAGAGCGGCATTTTGTAGGACTTCTGTCTGGTGGGCAGAACCAGGTCCCTTCCTACCGCTCACTGGGGCTGACCAGTCATAGGCCAAGCCTCCTCCTCACCAGGTGAGAGGGGAAGGCAGGACCCAGCAGACCAGGCTCAGCCCCCGGGAGATGGTGCTCCCTGCAGGGCATTGTCCGTGCCGGGCAGGAGAGGCAGGCCACTCTCTTCTAAACCCTGGCCTGGCTCTCCTGCTAGTAGGCACTGGTACTCACTGGCTAAGGCCCTGCCTGGACTCCTGCACCCTGGCTGGACTTCTGCCCATCTCCTCCCTCCGGCCCTCGAGCTGAGCCCCAAGGCAGTCAAGGCAGGAGAGAGGAGGAAGGATGGCCAGGAGCCAAGTATGGCCGGCCTGGCTGGAGCAGGGTGGGCACAGCCCAGAGGTGCAGGACAGAGTCTGGCTGAAAGCAAGGAGCAAGTGCCTCGCAGATCCAGGAAGGAGAGAGCCAAGCTAAGGAGGCTCTGCCCTCAGCAGGGTGGGGTCACTTCCCTTCCAGAGGGGGAGACAATGTAGGGGTAGACTGTCCTGAGTGCAAGGAAGAAAGACAGGACAGGGGCCATCTGGTGGCATAGTGGTTAAGTTTGCGCACTCTGCTTCAGTGGCCCGGGGTTTGCCCGTGTGGATCCCAGGCACAGACCTACACATCGTTCATCAAGCCATGCTGTGGCTGCATCCCACATACAAAATAGAGGAAGGCTGGCACAGATGTTAGCTGAAGGACAATCTTCCTCACCAAAAGAAGAAGGAAAGAATGCAAAGACAGGACAGAGGTGGCTGATCCTCCCACCCTCCCGGGACAAAGCAGACCACTCTGCACCTTGCCGTACTGACTGCCTCCCTTAGCCTGCCCACCAGATGGTGGAGCAGAGGCCAGAAGGAACCTAACAGGATGCCTAGCCTGGTGGGAGGAGGGGAGAGGGCCAGGAGGGCCTCCTGGAAGAAATGGTCCCCAGCTTCCTGGGCAGCATGGACAGCAGGCACTCCAGGCAGAGGGAATGGTGCTGAGCGATCTGTGCCCCCAGGCCCAGAGGCCACCTCCCCCAGGCTGAGCATGGCTTTCAAGGCGAAGCCCTCCTGGAAATGGTGTGCTCCCAGGGTGCCTGGAGGGCCCAGAGCCGAGCTCGGAATCCCAAGTTCCGGTGGGCCAGGCCAACCGGGGAGCGCCTGCTGCGTGCGTGCATAATAAATGTCCTCGAACGACGCGCTTGACCCCAGCGTCCCCACTGTTACAGCCTTTTCCTTTGGGCGCCGCGGTGTGTGCGAGGTTTGGTCACATTTGTCCTGGCTGCCACCCTCCGAGGCCACAACGTTCCAGGGGGCGCCGCGATCCACGCCGAGCCCGACTGCAGACAGGCCTGGCCCGGCCGGGCTGGAGCTCCGCGCTCGGGCCGAGACCGAAACTGCCCTCCACTGGCGACCCCAGGCTCGGCGACGCGGAGGCGCGGGCCTGGCGGGCGGGGCCGTGGGGCGGAGCGTCCGGGGGCGGGGCCGTCGGGGCGGGATTTGCACTGGGCGTGGCTTCGAGGGGCGGGCCCTCAGGTGGGCGGTGCCTTCGGTCTCTGAGTCCGTGGGGGCGGGGCCTCTAAAGGGCTCGGCTATCATTGGGTGGAGATTTGGGGGCGGGGAATGTTGGGCGTGGCTACTGGGTTCCGGAGCCGCGTTTGCGCTGGGCGCGGCCTCTATAAAGCTGTGAGGGCGGGGCACCTGGGGCGCGGCCGCAGGGTGGCCCTCCAATGGGTGCGGCTCGGAGGCGGGGATTTAGCGGGGCGGGGCCTCTGAACGGAAGGCTCACATAGGGCGGAGACTTGGGGGCGGGACACTGGAGCGGGGCTGCAGGGTGGCCCTCCAATGGGCGCGGCTCGGGGGCGGGGCTTGCGTACGGCGGGGCCTCCATAAAGCGGCTCAGCGCCGGCACCGCCTCCCCGTCCGCGCCGAGTATGTTCGTGGGGCCGTCGCCCGCCCGCGGGCTCCTGCTGCTGCTGCAGTCGTTCCTGCTGCTGCCGCAGGTGGGTCGCGGGCGCTGGGCTCGGGCACCGCGGGGCGGGGCTGCACGCGGCCTGCCCCGGCCCGGGCTCACCCCTGTCCCCACAGGTGGCGCTGGGCTTCGCAGACGGCAGCTGCGACCCCTCGGACCAGTAAGTCGTGGGGAGGGAGCAGGGCTCCGCCCCGCCCTGTGGGGAGGCTCGGGAGGGCCGGGCGGCCGGCCGGTGCCCCGCCTGCTCCAGGTGCCGCCCTCCCCGCAGGTGCCCGCCCCAGGCCCGCTGGAGCAGCCTGTGGCACGTGGGGTAAGTGGAGGGCGCGGCGCGGAGGGTGCCCCACGGTTCTCTCCGGGGCCAGGCCCACCAGACCCCACCCTGCCTGGCTCCAAGGCTGGAGTCGCCTGCACTGTTCCTCACCCCTGCCGCTGGCGGGAAGGCGCTGGGGCCCTCAGCCTACTCCTGCCCCCAGGACCATGGGCAGCCTCCCATGTGGGTCTTGCCCCAGACCCGCACAGCTCGGGCCACTCGGGCCCTTGGCAGGTCCTCCCTTCATAGCCTGCTTGCCCACCTCCCACCCCCTCCCTCCTCAATCCTGCAGGAGTCCCCTGTGAACATGGTCATTGGTCTGGGCACAGGATTGTGCAGTCAGCCCAGGACAGTGTGTCCTGGGAGTGAGCCCAAGGCCACTTGTGGCCAGCCCTGGAGAGACAGCCAGGGCAGGCCCAGCAGCAGGAGGCTGCGGTGGGCCAGCTCCTTAGGCCCAGCTCTGGCCAGGAAGGAGGTCTCCAGCCTAGAGGGACATTCTCTGGTTTTCTTTTGTGCTGTCTTCAGTGGCTGGGTCATGACTGCCCCAGGGAGCAGGTGCCCGGTGGCTGGGGGTCAGTCCAGTGGTAGGGTCTTACTCCTCCCTGCCCAGGCTTATCCTGCTTGCTGTCCTCCTGCTGCTGCTGTGTGGGGTCACGGCCAGCTGTGTCCGGTCCTGCTGCCTCCGGAAGCGGGCACACACTCAGCCACACCTGCCCTCCACACCTCAGCCTTGCGACCTGACAGTCATTCCTGTGGACAGCGACAGCCCCGTGCACAGCACTGTGACTTGTGAGTGCCTGCAGACGCTGCTCCTGGTGGCCTGCCTGCCTGCAAGGGGGAGTGGGGGGTGGGTGAGGGCCAAACCCATCCCCACAAACCCACTCCGGTTCCCTGCAGCCTACAGCTCCGTGCAGTACCCGCTGAGCATGCAGCTGCCCCTACCCTTTGGGGAGCTGGACCTCGACTCCATGACCCCTCCTGCCTACAGCCTGTACGCCCCCGAGCTGCCACCCTCCTACGATGAGGCTGTCAAGATGGCCAAACCCAAACAGGAAGAGCCACCCCCCTCCCAGTAGCCCAGCCCCTTGGGTAGGGCCTCAGGCCTAGGGGACCCAGGAGCTGGGCCCCAATGCCCCACATCCCCGGCTGTAGCCCTGATGCCCCTCAAAGGAGGGAGAGAGCTCTCCTGAACCTCCCTGTGCTCAGGGAGCACTTGGAGCCGGGGACCCCCAGCCCACCCCTACCATCCTTCCCCCGGGAAGGCCAGCCGTCCAGCACATTGCTGCAGCCCTGGCCTCGTTGCTATGTAACGCCGGGCAGCCGAGCCAGCCAGCCCTGTGTTGGCCACACACACACGCACACACACACACACAGCAGGCTGCTGTGTTCAGCCCCAGCCCCTACCCATCGCAGCAGGCCCTGGGCCCAGAGGAGGCCCCAAAAGCCTAAGCCTCAGGGCTCAGGGCTGGCTATGATGTCCGCAGCTCTTTGGAGAGAGAATAAAGTTTGTATCTAAGTGGTCTCTGCCTGTAGGAAAGGGCTCCGGGAGGGGCCCTCAGGCAGCCGCCCCCCAGTGCAGGTAGGCAGGGAAAGCACACGGTCCTCGACCTCCACCCAGCCTGGACTTCAGGCTGGTGTCCAGAGCCCAGAGTTGGGCAGTGGGCGGTGTTAGATGTCGCAGCAGAAGTGACAGGCCATGTGCCATGGCTGGCCCAGGAAAACCCTCTCCCTTCTCCAGACCCCCATCTTTGCTGGCCCCTCCTTTCCAGGATGGGGACAGTGAACCATACCTGCCTCTAGCTGAAGGGTTTATTGGCCACAGAGCTGGCCAGGGGAATGGGGGCATAGTATGGCCAGCAGTGGGCAGCAGCCTTCCTCGGGCAGGCCTCCCACGGCTGCGGCAGCTGCTCCTACTGAACCAGCTTGAAGGACTTTCCGGTCATCATGGCCATGAACTCTGGGAGCAAGGGACAGGTCAGCAGCCCGGCCTTGCCTGGCCACCAGGCTCCCAGGGCCCATCCCCTGCTCACTCTCATACTTGATAGTCCCACCCCCGTCCGTGTCAGCCTCTTTCATCATCTGCTCGGCCTCCATCTTGTTGAGGGGCTCACCCGCATTCACGAGCACATACCTGTGGGACGCCCCCACTGAGTGGGAACCAAGTGGGCACCAGCCCTCACCCACTCTCCCACCAGCCCCTGGCCCTACTTGAGCATGTCCCAGTCGATGTAGCCCTTGCCCTCCTTGTCAAAGGCGCGAAAGGCTGCCCTCAGCTCGTTCTCCTGGGTCTGGGCCTTCTCTCAGTAAATCCGCGTCACAGCCGGGAAGCTGTCGCAGTTAAAGAAACCTTTGTCTGCGGGGAGCAAGCAGCGCGCTGGGGCCCACATGAGGGGGAGCCACATGCAGCCCCTCCCCACTCACACACAGGTGACCCGCCCAAGTCTCACTGTCTCTGTCCACATCCTTGCCCATGGAGGCCAGCTCGTTCTTGGTGGGGTTGATGCCCAGCAGGCTCGTGAGCCGCCCAGGTCACCTGTCTGCGTGTCCCCATTGCCCTCCTTATCGAACATCTCAAAGACACCCTTGTACTCCTTGATCTGTGTGGCCGTCAGGCGCTCTGTCTGCGGGGACACACCAGCCCAGCTTCACCAGGGTCCCCTCTGCCCCTCAGTCAGGGGGAGGTTGGAGGCCCTGGGACACGTGGCACAAGGCACCCTGCCGCATCCATCCGCTTGGCCACCTTTTGGGCCCTGTAGCTAAAAAAGGAGGCCCCCAGCCCAGAGCAGCTTCCAGACAAGGTGGCACAACTCTTGAGAGTGAGCAGGACTCCACCAAGCCGCTTAAAGGGGGAAGGCACACGGGGGCAGGGGGCAGGGGCGGCGGCGGGCAGTGGGGACAGCTAGGTGTGCAGGAGCCAGGGCGCAGGCCAGCCACATGAGGGGACAATGGAGGCTACAGGGCAGGTGGGTCAGCCCCAGTCCCTGAGCCCAATGCAGTGGACACCAGGTGAGACCAGGTGAAGGACGCCACCTACCAACATGGGGAGGAGCCTGACCCAGGCCAGGGTGAAAGTTCCAGGGCAAGGGGTTTCCAGGCCTGGGTGAAGACAGGACTTAGGGGACGGCCTGGGGGCAGGGTCCTGGGCCCTAGCCTGTTCTGGCGTCCAGGATAGTCGAGCACCTGGCCACCCCTGCCTGCCACCCACTGCCCTTTTTCAGAAGGGCTGCTCTGTCCTGACCCCCCGAGTGAGGGCGGGGTCAGTAGCCAACAGGGCTCAGCCTCAGCACCCACTCTGTCCTCCCTGTCCAGCCTCACTGAATTTCTCCCTCAGGTTCCCAGAGAGACCCTCGCACCGTCAGGCACAGCCCCAGCCCATCCCTGTGCCCAGAGGGCCTGCCCCTCTACCCATGGGCACTGTCCCCAGCTCCCACTCGACCACCCAGCCAGTCCACAGGCGGCTCTGCCGGGCGCCAGGAATGGCCTTACCACGTCTGTGGCCAGCTGAGAGGGCACTGCAGGCTGGCACTGGAGCTGCTGTGCGCAGAGCACGAGGGGCGGAGGTAGTGGCCCCGTTTTAGCTGGGCCAGGCTGCCTGGGGTCCCCAGGGTCTGGAAACCACCAGCCTTGTATGGCCAGGAGATCCTGTCGGCCCTATTTCAGGACAGGCTTGGCCCTCCCCACACGCCCCTCCTGGCCCTCCTCAGCCTGGGCACCCCCTCACCCTGAAGCTCCCCTCGGACCTTGGGTCCTAGCCAGGCCCCGCCGCAGCCTCAGCCCTCCTGGGGCTGCAGCAAGGATGGAGCCTGTGGGCCGAGGGCAGGAAGGCCTTCACGTCAGCCGTAGCCCCTCCGCCAGGTCAGCCTCCTCCCGTCATCCTGCCGTGGACCCTCACCCGGGCTCTCGTCACTTGTTTGTGAGGGATCTGGCAGAAGGCCTGCCCTGGCCGGGTGATGCCTTCACGTCCCCAGCCAGCACTCTGCAGACACCCTCTAAAGACACGTTGAATGAACAAATGCATTCGGGACCGCCTCTGGCCACCCTGTGCAGAAAGGGCTGGGGGTCTGCGGTCCAGGGAGGAAACAGCTAGACGTGGGCTGGAGGCGAGAGGGGGCAGGACAGACAGGACCACGGAGCTGGACTGGCCCCTGGGAAGCCAGGCCAGGTTTCCTCTCTATTCTGGGGTTTCTCAGGGAAACCTGACCTCCCTTCCACTCAGAACAGCAAAGCCAGCTCCCAAGGGAGCCGTGTGGCCAGGCTGCTTGGTAACAACATGCCCCAGCAGCACACATGCCTGCATACATGTGCTCAGCCCTCGGACACATGCACCCACACCCACCCCACCTGGGACAGCGGTGCCGGCTCCCGACCCCTTGGCCCCAGTCCTCAGGCTCCCATCCAGGCAGGGGATACAAGACGACCTGCTGGTCCAGCCGTGACACTAGGGGTCTGGTTGCAAGTCAGGGCTGAGGGGGGTCCTCCTATCCCCACTCCAGCCCCCACCCGGGGGATAGTCACAGATGGGTCCCACCTAGTTCCCTTCACCCCGTGCATGGCTCCCAGAGTCGCACACCCCTGCCCCGGCCCTGTGACCACTGGATGAGTCTGAGCAGGTGAGGCAGGCTGTGTCCTCCACCAGCCCAGCTGGCTCTCTGCCTGCCAGAATACATCTGAAGCCTCGGGGACGCCTCCTCTGGAAGGCCAGCTGCTGAGGCCGCCAGATCAGTGCTGACAGGGCAGGATGGCTCCGGTGGGCACCAGGCCAGCAGCCCGGCGGGGCTGCAGGAGCAGCCAGTTCCGGCCCCTCCCTTCGTCCTGGCTGCTCTCTGGCCTTGGCTTTGGGCTCTGTGATGGTGAGAAAAGACTTTCTAACCTCTCTCTCGAAAATCCCAAACCAGACCAGCAGGCGGAAGTCAAACAGCATTTCAGTAAAACTCGTCACAGCTCTAAGGCCAAACCACGACACACGAGGAAAAAGCAGTGGGGGACAAGGCGGGCGGGGCCCGAGCGCCTGAGGACAGACAGGGCCGAGGGGTAATTTTATGTCACTTCAGCAGGGCTGAGACCCCAGATGTTTGTGCAGACACGAGTCTCAGTGTTGCTGTCAAGTTTTTTTCATAAATGTACGGGTTACAGTGCTGAAATTAGCATGTAGTGTTACTCAGAGATGGGAACCAACATTTGCTGAACATCTATGACGGAGCACAGTCTGTTTGTTCTTTTTCTTTGTGTGGTAAAAAAACATAAAATTCACCATCTTAACCATTTTCAAGTGTACTGTTCGGCACTGTTAGCTATGCGTGCCTTGTTCCATAACAGGTCTCGGAAAGCTTTTCATCTTGCAAAACAGAAACCCTGTTCCTGTTAAACACCGACTCCCCCTCCCCACCCCCAGCCCCTGGCAACCTCCATTCCACTTTCTGCCTTTATGAATTTGACAACTCGAGGGACCTCATACCAGTGGAATCATACAATATTTGCCCTTTTGTGACTAGCCTCTTTCAGCCTAATATCCTCAGGGTCCATCCATGTTGCAGTATGTGTCAGAATTTCCTTATTATTTAAGGCTGCATAATATTCCATTGTAGGTGTAGACCATGTTTTACTATCCATTCATCCATCCGTGGACACCTAGGTTGCTTCCACTTCTTGGCTATTGTGAATAATTAACATGGTAAGAAGGTGTTTTTTGAGATATGATTAACAGTTAAATCAGTAGACTTTGAGTAAAGCAAATTAGCTTCATAATGTGGGTAGGTCTCGTGCAATCAGTTGAAGACCTTAAGAGAAAATTCTGAGGTCCCCAGGAAGAAGGAATTCTCCTCCAGACCAGCTCTGGGTTCAAGCCACAACACCGGCTCCTCCCCGTCTCCAGCCTACAATCAGCACAACGGCCAGAGCCAATTCCTTAAAACAATCAACCTCTCTCTCCTTCTCTCCCTCTCTCTTTCCCCCTCTTCCTCTCCTATTGGTCTGCTTCTCTGGAGAGTCGTGACTCTCCTCTCCAGAGGGTCACTGAGGACAGGGACCCAGGAAGGCTAGAGCAATGTGCTCAGTCTCCTGAGCATCTGGGCATGGGCCGCCCGGGGCCACCCTCCCTACTGCAGGGCACTCCAGTGCTGCCCTTGTGACGTGGTCTCCCCAGGTCCCCTGTGGACTGAGCCCTGTTGCCCATAGTGTCACCTGCTCAGCCACGGGACCACCGCCCTTCTGGCCTTTTCTTACTTCCTGCACTTCCTCAGAAAGTTGTATGCTCTAGTCTTGAGTCCTGTGTCGAGTCCTTGTCTCAGGGTCTGCTTACAGGGAAGCGCAGCCTGGACAAGGGGTGAAAAACAAAAAACCCAAACCCCAGACCACCAACCGTGGAAGATGGGAGTGGATGAAGGCGTAAGATCCCAGTACTGTTCTGGACATGGCCAGAGCAAGGAACTCAGATTAAAACATAACATGAATTCTTAAGGTGACCACTAAAATCACAGAAGTCGGGGCTGGCCCTGTGGCCGAGTGGTTAAGTTCGCTCATTCCGCTGCAGGCGGCCCAGTGTTTCGTTGGCTCGAATCCTGGGCATGGACATGGCACCGCTCATCAAACCACGCTGAGGCAGCGTGCCACATGCCACAACTAGAAGGACCCACAACGAAGAATATACAACTATGTACCAGGGGGCTTTGGGGAGAAAAAGGAAAAAAATAAAAATAAAATCTTAAAATCACAGAAGTAGGTTGTACAACTTCCACATCTGTGGAGGGGAAAAAGAATAAAGGAAATGTAACAAACCTAAGAGATACAGGAAGGGAGACAGAAGTACAAGAAAAGCAGCATAGGGCCAGCGCCCCCCCCCGGCCCCCCCCCCCCACCGTAGCCTAGTGGTTAAGTTTGGCGTGCTCTGCTTCCACAGCCCAGGTATGATTCTTGGGTGTGGACCTACACCACTCATCCATGGCCATGCTGTGGTGGCAGCTCACATACAAAATGAGGAAGACTGGCAACAGATGTTAGCTCAGGGGAAATCTTCCTCAGCAAAAAAAAAGGAAAAGAAAAGCAGCATAGAGCCAGCCCTGGTGGCCTAGTGGTTAAGATTTGGCACTCTTACTGGTGCTGCCCAGGTTAATTTCCCAGTCGTAGAACCAGGTAGTTCACACAGAGAATTAAACCACAACTAGGATACACAACCATGCACTGAAGCTTTAAAAAAAAAAAAAAGAAAGAAAGAAAGAAAGAAAAGCTGTATGATTAGAGCAGAAAGTAACGTCGTAGACATTACCAGCCACCTGGCAGAGCTCCCGGGGCAAAGCTGGAACACTGTGAGCAATAGAAGAAATCAGGGTGTGCTGGGTTATAGCCAAAGAATAAAATAAACATCCATGGACATCAAAACACACCGTCAACAGAGGGAGAGATGGCTGACCTGATGGGAGAAAATATTTGCAAATTGCTTATCTGATACAGGATTAACATCCAGAACATGTAAAGAACTCCTGAAACTCAATGACAACAAAAATAAACAACCGGATTAGAAAATGAGCAAAAAGCTTGAATAGGCACGCCTCCAAAGAAGAGCAAGCTCAGCATCACTAATCATCCAGGAGATGCACATCAACACTGCAACCAGATACGTTCTCACACCCGTGAGGATAGCTACTGTCAAAAACACAGAAAATGACGAGTGTCAGGAGGATGTGGAGAAATTGGAACCCTGTGCACTGTTGGTGAGAATGGAAAATGGTGCAGCCACTGTGGAGGACATTATGGAAGTTCCTCAAAAAACTAGACATAGAATTATCATGTGATCCAGCAATTTCATTTCTGGGCATACGCCAAAAAGAATTGAAAGTGGGACCCGAACAGGTATTCGTACACCCATGTTCATAGCAGCATTGTTCACAATAGATAAGAGGTAGAAACAACCCACGTGTCCATCAATGGATAGATAGATAAACGAAATGTGGTCCATACATATGCGTTGGTTAATATGTGTTAACTTTGACTGGCTAAGGGCACCCAGACAGCTGGTAAAACACTATTTGTGGGTGTGTCTGTGAGGGTGTCCCTGGAAGAGAATAGCATGTGAATCAGCAGCCTGAGTAAAGAAGATTGTCCTCACCAATGCAGTGGGCATCGTCCACTCTGTTGAGGGCCCAAACAGAACAAAAAAGCAGAGGAAGAGGGAAGTGCTCTCTCCTTGAGCTGGGACATCCGGCCTTTCCTGCCCTCGGACATCAGCGCTCCTGGTTCTGAGCCCTTCAGACTCACACTGAACAACACCACGAGCCCTCCTGGGTCTCCTGCCGGCAGATGACAGGTGGTGGGGCTTCTCGGCCCCCATGACCATGTGAGCCAATTCCTGCAATAAATCACCTCTCTCTCTCTCTCTCTGTGTAATTGATTCTGTTTCTCTGGAGAATTCTAATACAATATGCAATTGAATTATTATCATCTAGCCTTAAAAAGGAAGGAAATTCTGACACCTGCTACAACATGGATGAACCTTGCGGACATTATCCTCAGTGAAACGAACCAGTTATAAAAAGATAAATACTGTGTGATTCCACTTATCTGCGGTCCTAGAGCAGTCAAATCCTTAGAGACAGAAAGTAGAATGGTGGGTGCCAGGGCCTGGGGGAGGGGGAGAGGGAGGAATGGGGAGTGAGTGTTTAATGGGGACAGAATTTCAGTTTGGGAAGATGAAAAAGTTCTGGAGATGGATGGTGGTGATGGTTGCACAACAACGTGAATGTGCTGAATGCCACTGAAACTATGCACTTAAAATGGTTAAGATGGTAAATTTTATGTTACGTAAATTTTAATACCACAAGAAAAATGAATAAATGTCCATGAGTCTGTATTGATATAAATGACTGAATAAATAAATAAATGGGAGAGAAAAGTCAAATCTCCCATAAAGAATTCCAAATACTTTGTGCAGATATTCTGCTCTCAAGGAGGGGGAGCACACACCCCCACTCCTTAATTGTGGGCCCGAATAGTGACTTCCTTCCAGAGAGTAGGGTATGGAGAGGCAGAGAGAAGGGCACTGACCCCCGTCAGGTGACCAAGGTCACATCACTAGAGATGTGTCATGGTGATGCGACGTGAGGAGAGGGCCCTGCACCTCTGTGGTCTCCTCCCGGAACCCAGAACCCTAGTCTAACCCCAAGAGAATACCAGACGAATCCCAACAGAGGGACATTCTACAAAATGTCCTGATCAGCGCCCCCAAAATTGTCTGTCATCAAAAACAAGGGAAGTCTGGGGAGCCAAGGGGATGTGACAGCTAAATTCACTGTGAGATCCTGGGACAGAAAGAGGACAGTCAGTAACAACTAAGGAAATCTGAATAAAGCAAGGACTTTCGTTAATAAAACAACAGGGGTCAATTAATTGTGATGAACGTGTGATGTGAATGTAAGATGTTCATAATACAGGAAACCGAGTATGAAGTGTGTGCGAACTCTCTATGCTCTTAGCAACTTTTCTGTAAATCTAAACCAATTCTAAAAATAAAGTTTATTTTAAAAAATAAATCCAAATACATCAATAATCAAAATAATGCCATTTAAAACAATCTCCACTAAGGGGCAGATTATCAGACAGGATAAAAACAAACACCAAATGCTTTCTGTTCACAAGACACAACCTTCAAACGTGAGGACCCCGAAAGGTCGGAGGCGGGACGCGGTGAAACCCGAGGCGGGGACCTCCTGGACCTCCGGCGCTTCCTCTACCGGGCGTGTCACCGGCACGTGAGCTCCACGAGCTTGCTGGGTCCGGGGTCGCAGTCTCAGAACATCCTCTTCAAGAGCCTCTGGATTGGTCTACACATCGATCATTTATTGATCCACAAAGAAATCTCAACACTAAAGATCAGCATCAAACTGACCATCTTTTCCAACTACTGAGACTTCGATTAATTTCCAAATCAAGACCAGAGGGAACCGCTAAGAGTTGAAACGGGCTGTTTCTGCCAAGGGAGTGGGTGCAGAGGGCCGCGGGCCACCAGCCAGGAAAACTCCCGACCGCACTAGTACAGACACAGGCCTTTCTTGGAACACCACCACCATGGTCATCCGGGGTCTTCCTGCGGGGTGCCAGATCCCCAACCCACCGGGAAGGGCAGTGTCCGGGACAGGACTTCTCCAGCCCGTGTCCGTCCCTCGGCCCAGGCCCCGCCCCTCGCTCGGCCCCGGCCCGCTCCCTGCCTGTCATTCGGCCCGGCCTGCCCCCTGCCTGTCACTCGGCCCCGGCCCCGCCCCGTCCCGCCCGGCGGCTATTCCGCGCGTCGGCACCAGGCGGCGGTCGCGGGCCGCGCAGAGCCGGGAGGGGCGGGCCGGACCGGGCCGCTGGATGGTCGGCCTTCCGGGTCCTCGTGTTTGGGGTCGGCCTGCCCCGCGTTGGAACTCGGCGGGGCCTGCGTCCCAGGCCGCCCGCCCGGGCCGCTCTCCATCCCTCGTTTCAACACCTTGCCCCGGAAGCCTCACTTCTGGGTTCCCACAATTGCTAGGACAAAAATAGGCATAAATATCCCTTTCATGCACCTGTAGGCAGACGACAGCCCCAGCCCAACGCAGGTGGCCGGGAGTGGGGCAGGGTGCTGACTGTGGAAAAGTGGAGCCACCGCTCGCCTTGGGCTGACCCCCGACCCCGAATGTCTAGGCCGGCAGAGAAGCACTCGTGTCCTCAGACAACCCTTTGTGCTGGGTGGACCCCACTCACACCAGGACCGGGGTCAGGCACGGGACCCTGAGGTGCCTGCCCCAGGAGCCCCTGTCTTTGATGTCCTGAGACATTGCCTGTCTGTGCTCAGGGGCCTGGTCTGCCGCTCTGCCCAGCTACTGTGTGACTCAGTTCCGTCCAGGCCCCAAGGGGGCTCACAGCTGACCCCTAGCAGCCCTGTACCCTGTGGCCCCTGCTCCTCCGCAGGGCTCCAGGGCCTTCATGTTCTGGGGGCTCTTCCTTCCTTATCCTCTTCAGTCTTGTTTGAATGTGACAACAGCAAGGTCATTTGGTCCAAAAGCTAAAAGAGGTTCCAGGGTCAGTGGGCCCAGTGGCCAGCGGGAGGCAGGAGCCTGGAGGTGTATCCTGCACAGAGGGGAAACTGAGTTTCAACGAGGTGAAGCCCCTTGCCTAGGGGGACTGCCTGCCCCACGTGTCCGCAGAGCCTGGCCTTAGGGGCAGCACCCCTGGCTGTGGGGGACAGGACCAGGCAGCAGGGGTGGTGCATGCATGGCCCTGGCCTCAGAGGGGCCCCAGGTAGCGTCCATTTTGGGTTGACCCACAGTGCCTCACCTCTGCACCCTCTGCGGGTGCTTCCTCCCCATGGTCTCTCTCAGACATCTGGGCACTTCAGTGCCCACCCAAGACCTGATGCCCGTGGCCACCAGAATCTGCTGGAGGGGCAACAGGACAGGACACACAGCCCCTTAGAAGTCTCATCGGGCAGGCTGAGCCACCCCCAGGTGCCCCCGGGGCAGGCCTGGGCATGAGCCCTGGGCAAATGCCCAGGGGAATGTAGCAGGGCCCAGAGGTCCCAGACAGACGTCACAGCGAGAAACTCTAGGGCCCCTGGCTCCGGGCAGCCACCCCACGTGCTCAGCCATTCCTGCTGGTTTCCAAAACACCCAGTGCCTGCAGGCCCAGCTGCCCCAGGAGGGGCAGCCTCAGTGGCCTGCGGGTGCTCCTGGCTCTGCCCAGCATCCCTGCTGCTTGGGGCTCCAGCCCACCATTTCCTCTTCCATCTCTTAGGGGCCCCATGTCCCCAAGGCTTCCAGGCCACCACCCTCAGATTCCACCCTGCTCCAGGCCCTTGGGCCCCCATGCCCCTCCCCATCTCTCGTTGCCCCTTCCAGGCACACCTTGCATCACCTCCCAGGTGGCTGGTGGGCTGGGCTTCAGGGACAGAATTCTTGACAAACAGTCCCAGGCTCCGGGGGCACTCTCGAGAGATGAGGCAAGCTGCACCTTCAGGATCCAAGTCCAGCTGCTGCTGAGGACTGTAGCACTGAGACGCTAGAAGCTGGGGGCTTGGGGATGCTGCAGGGGTGCTGGGGCCTAGATGGCCTTGCAGAAGGGTACTGCTGCCCCCTCATCACCCTGCCTGCCCCAGGGCATGTGCAGTGGTGCCCAGTCTGAGTGTAAGGTGCCTGCCCAAATTGGAGCAGAGCCTGGTAGCCAAGGGTAGGTTGGGGCAGCAGAGTGCAAGGACCCAGTGACCTTCTCCTTGCTGTCCTCACTGGCCCAGCCCACACCCTACTACAGACACCCCCACAACTACCTGAGTGCCCACCCCCACTTCAGAAGGTGGCTAGGGGACTCTTGGTACAGGGGCTGCCACTGGGTCCTAGTCAGGAGTCCCGGGGCAGTTCCATGGGCCTGAAGGGCTGGACTCACACATTGGGCAAGGGGACAGCTGGCCCCCAGGGAGGATGGCTCAGCAGGCAGAAGGGAGCCAGGTCAACTGCCTAGGCCCCTGAGCTGGGGAGGGAAGGAGACTGACCCAGGGCGAGGGCTGGAGCCTCCCCCTCTGGGCTGAACTGTGTCCCCAGGTGTTGAAAGGGAGTAAGGGGGCCCAGCAGGACCAGGTGGAGGCCCCCCCCACCTGAGCAGCCAACAGGTCCCCTGGGCTACCTTTATTCAGCACCTGCCCTGGGGAAAAGGGGGTCTCTGCTCCCCAGGCAGCCAAATCCACAAGAACCAGTCAATAAGAAAATGCTGCCAAGAAGTGGAAGAGGGCCATGGTGTGGGGTTGGGCCTGGTGCTGCGCTGGGGGCTCATGGGGGGGCGGCACTGGAGTAGAGGCAGGGTGACAGCAAGGGCCCTCCCTCCCCTTTTCCTGAGGTGCCTCCAGGCCCACATTTAAGCCTCCATGAAGCTAGCTCCCCCCTTCACCCCAGCCCGGTCCTGCCTCCTGGTTGTGTTTGTTCACACATGCCCAGCCATCTCTGGGACCCTCCAGCTCCTTGGGTGCCTGCCTGGGACCCCATCTCACGCTGGTCCCTGCTGCCCTGGCCACACGACGCTTTTGTCTGCAAAGTCCCCTCCTCTCTCTGGGGTTCTCCTCCTGTTCACCACTCCTCCTCTCCCCTTGAGGGGACATTGGTGGCCCTGGGACGTCCTTGGCTACACACGCTCCCCTCTGGCCCCTCGCTGGCCTGTGGCTCTGCACGCCCACCCTATGCCTGCTTCTCCGCCCGACATCTATAAATATCTCAGGCTAGAAAGGTCCAAGACACAGCACATTCTCCGCTCGCCCCCTGAACTGCCCACCCTGGCTGTCCCTCCCCGTGGTCCCAGCTCCCCACTCAGCTGCTCGGGCAGATACCCTGGTGTCATCCCTGCCTCCTCCGTACCCTCATCACTGAACAACCACAAACCCCATCACTCTGGAATATGTGGCCCTGTCCAGCCTGCCCAGCCCATCGTGCTGCCCTCGGCACAGTTCACCCCACCCTGCAGCAGCCAGAGGGGCCACGCCCCTGCTCAGACCCCCCCTGGTTCCCATCAGCGCCCAACAGGGTCTGCGCCCCTCTCTGCCACAGGCCCTAAGTGAGCTGATGGCCGCTGACCAGCAGAAGGAAAAGGACACCTCCCTTGGCTCCTCTTCTCGGAATTTATCCTTTTTTAAGAAGTAGCTGATAAATGCCAATGGCTTTGTTTTCACAGAGAAAGAAAAATCATTCCTCAAATTCATATCAAATTACAAGAGACCCCAAACAGTCAAAACAATCTTGAAAAAGAAGAACAGAGTTGGAACACTCGCACTTCAATCTAATAGTTACTGCAAAGCTACAGTGATCGAAACAGCATGGTACTGGCACAAAGACAGACAGATGGCGGTGGGCCCCATGGCCGAGTGATTGAGTTCGTGCGCTCCACTTCGGCGGCCCAGGGTTTCGCCGTTCACTTCGGCGGCCCAGGGGTTTCGCCGTTCGGATCCTGGGCGTGGACGTGGCACCACTCATCAGGCCATGTGGAGGTGGCATCCCACATGCCACAGCTGGAAGGACCCACAACTAAAAGTGTGTAACTATGTACCAGGGGACTTTGAGGAGAAAAAGGAAAAATTAAAAAATCTAAAAAAAAAAAAAGTTAAACTATAAAACTTAGAAGAAAACATAGGAGTAAATCTTCATAAACTTAGGTTTGGCAAGGGCTCCTTAGTGCAACACCAGAAACTCAGGCAACAAAGAAATGAAAAAAGAAAAAGAGATAAATTGAACATTATTAAAATTATGAACTTTTTTGGGGCCAGCCTGGTGGTGCAGCAGTTAAGGTCATATGTTCTGCTTTGGCGGCCTGGGGTCCACTGGTTTGGATGCTGGATGCGGACATGGCACTGCTCATCAAGCCATGCTGTGGCAGGCGTCCCACGTATAAAGTAGAGGAAGATGGGCACGGATGTTAGCTCAGGGCCAGTCTTCCTCAGCAAAGAGAGGAGGATTAGTGGCAGATGTTAGCTCAGGGCTAATCTTCCCCCCAAAAAACAAATTATGAACTTTTATGAGTCAAAGGACACTATCAACAGTGTGAAAAAACAACTGGCATAACAGGAGAAAATATTTGCAAATCACACATCTCATAGGGGTCTAGCGTGCAGAATATACCAAGAGCCCTTACAACTCAACAACAACCCCAATAAAGACATGAAAAGATGATCCACAGCAGTAATCACTAAGGAGACACCAATCAGACCACAATGAGACACCGCTTCACATCCACTAGGGTGGCTATGATCAAAAAGGCCAACAGTGACAAGTGTTGGTGGGGCCGTGGAGCAATTGGAACCCTCATACTCTGCTCATGGGAATGCAAGTTAGTTCAACCGCTGTGGAAAACAGTCGGGCACTTCCTCAGGTTAAACACAGAGTTACCACATGACCCCACAATTCCACTCCTAGGTAAATACCAAAAAGAATTGAAAACAGATGTTCAAACAAAAACGTGTCCACTAATATTCATAGCAGCTCTAATCACAAGAGCCAGAATTCTGATGGAAACAGCCCAAAGGTCCATGCCTGGATGAATGGATAAACAGTGTGGTGGATCCGTGCAATGGGTTATTCAGCCATAAAAAGGAAGGAAGCCCTGACACACGCTGCAACATGGATGAACCAGGAGAGCGTGATGCTCAGTGGGAGAAGCCAGACAAAAGGCCACATGTGTGATTCTGCTCATAATGAATTACCTAGAGCAGGCCAGTCCATGAAGACAGAAAGCAGACTGGTGGTTGCAGGGTCTGGGGGAGGGGATGGGGAGTGACTGCTTAATGGGGACGGGTTTCCTGCCGAGGGGATGACAATGTTCTGGAACTAGACACAGGTGACGGTTGCACAATAATGTGAATGTACTAAATGCCACTGAACTGTACACTTCAAAAGGGTATAGATGGTAAATTTTATGTCACATGTATTTTACCATGATTCAAAAAAAGGTAGCTGGTGAGGCAGA